GGAGGGGGAGGGAGGGAGGTAGGCAGGGGAGGGGAGGGAGGCAGGCAGGTAGGCAGGGAGGGAGGGGGAGGGGAGGGAGACAGGCAGGCAGGGGAGGGAGGGGAGGGAGGGAGGGGAGGTAGGCAGGAAGGAGGAAGGGAGGGGAGGGAAGGAGGCAGGCAGGCAGGGGAGGGGAGGGGAGGCAGGTAGGCAGGCAGGGGAGGGAGGGAGGGAGGGGAGGGAGGGAGGCAGGTAGGCAGGGAGGGGAGGGAGGGGGAGGGAGGGAGGCAGGCAGGAAGGGGAGGGGAGGGAGGCAGAGGAGGTACGGGAGGGGAGGGGAAGGAGGGAGGGAAGGGAGGGAAGGAGGCAGGGAGGGAGGGAGGAGGAGCAAGCACGGGAGGGAGGAAGGTGAAGCAAGCAGAGAGGGGAGGGAGGCAGAGAGGGGAGGTGCAGGGGAGCAAGTAGGGAGGGAGGGAGGTAGAGGGAGGCAGGGAGGGAGGGTAGCAGGGAGGGGAGGGGAGGCAGGCAGGGGAGGGAGGGAGGAAGGGAGGGAGGGGAGGGGAGGCAGAGAGGGGAGGGAAGGGGAGGGAGGGAGGGGAGGCAGGCAGGCAGGGAAGGCAGGGAGGGAGGGGAGGGAGGGACAGAGAGGGAGGGGAGGGAGGGGAGGGAGGCAGGTAGGAGGGAGGAGGGAGAAGGGGTGGGGAGGGGAGGCAGGCAGGAGGTGAGGGAGGGAGCAGGTAGGGAGGGAGGGAGGGAGCAGGTAGGGAGGGGAGGTAAGAGGAGGTAGAGACAGAGGCAGGGAGGGGAGGCAGGGGAGGCAGGGAGGCAGGGAGGAAGGGGAGGGAGGCAGGAGAGGGAGTCAGGGAGGCACAGGGGAGGGAGGGAGGCAGGCAGGCAGGCAGGGGAGGGAGGGGAGGGAGCAGGACAGGGAGGCAGGGAGCAGGCAGGGGAGGGGAGGGAGGGAGCAGGCAGGGGAGGGAGAGGGGAGGCAGAGAGAGAGGTAGGGAGGGAGGAGGTATGCAGGTAGGGAGGTAGGGAGTAGGGCTGGGGTAGGTAGGGAGGGGAGGTAGGGAGGCAGGCAGGCAGGGAGGGAGCAGACAGGGAGGTAGGGAGCAGGGGTAGGGAGGGAGGGAGGGAGTAGGCAGGGGAGGGAGGCAGAGAGGGAGGCAGGGAGGGGGAGGTGGGAGCAAGGGAGGAGGCAGAGCAAGGGAGGGAGAGGGAGGTAGGGAGGGAGGGAGGTAGGGAGCTAACAGGAGGGAGGGGAGGCAAGGAGCAAGCAGGGAGGAAGGGAGGAGGCAAGCAGGCAGGGCAGGGGGAGGGAAGGAGGGCAGGGAGGGAGGGAGGGGAGGGAAGGAGGGAGGAGGAGGCAGGGAGGGAGGAGGGAGGTGGGCAGGCAGGGAGGTAGGGTGCTGGGGAGCAGGCAGGGGAGGGAGGGGAGGCAAGGAGGCAGGGGAGGGGAGGGAGGGAGGCAGGGAGGGGAGGGAGGGAGGGAAGAAGGAGGCAGGCAGGGGAGGGAGGGGAGGGAGGGAGGGAGGGAGGTTGGCAGGCAGGGGTAGGGAGGGGAGGGAGGGAGGGAGCAGGTAGGGAGGGAGGGAGGGAGGGGAGGGGAGGCAGGGAGAAAGGGGAGGCAGGAGCAGGTAGGAAGGGGAGGGGAGGGAGGGAGGCAGGGAGGGAGTGGGGCAGGCAGGGAAGCAGGGAGCAGGCAGGGAGGGAAGGGAGGGAGGGAGGCAGGGAGGAGGGAGGCAGGGAGGGATGCTGGAGCAGGTAGGGAGACAGGGAGCAGGCAGGAGGGAGGAAGGCAGGCAGGCTGGGAGGGGAGGGACCAGGCAGGAGGCAGGGAGCAGGCAGGGAGGGAGGGAGCAGGCAGGAGGGAGGAAGGCAGGCAGGCTGGGAGGGAGGGACCAGGCAGGGAGGGGCAGGAGCAGGCAGGGAGGAGGGAGCAGGCAGGGGAGGGGAGGGATGGGAGGCAGGCAGGCAGGGAGGGAGCAGACAGGGAGGCAGGGAGCAGGTAGGGAGGGGAGGGAGGGAGCAGGCAGGGGAGGGAGGGGTGAGGTATGTGGGGGAGGGGAGGCAGAGAGAGAGGCAGGGAGCAGGTAGGGAGGGGAGGGAGGTAGGGAGGGAGGCAGACAGGGAGGTAGGGGAGGGAGGAGGTGGGTGCAGGGAGGGAAATAGACAGGGAGGTAGGGAGGGGAGGGAGGGAGTAGGCAGGAGGAGGAGGCAGGTAGGCAGGCTGGGAGGGAGGTATGTAGGGAGGGAGCAGACAGGGGAGGCAGGGAGCAGGCAGGGAGAGGAGGGTGCAGGTAGGGGGGAGGCAGAGAGGTAGGGAGGAGGAGGTATGCAGGGGGAGGGAAACAGACAGGGAGGCAGGGAGGGAGGGAGGGAGCAGGTAGGGGAGGGAGGAGGCAGGTAGGCAGGGGAGGGGAGGCAGGGGAGGCAGGCAGGCAGGCAGGAGGGAGCAGACAGGGAGGCAGGGAGGGAGGGAGGGAGCAGGCAGGGAGGGAGGGGAGGTAGGGCAGGCAGGCAGGGAGGGGAGCAGGAATGGGAGGTAGGGAGCAGGCAGGGAGGGGAGGGAGGGAGCAGGCAGGGAGGGGAGGCAGAGAGGAGGTAGAGAGAGAGGCAGGGAGGGGAGAGGTATGCAGGGGAGGTAGGAGCAGGCTGGCAGGAGCAGGTAGGGAGGGAGGCAGGAGAGGGAGGCAGGGAGGGAGGAGGGAAGCAGGGAGGGAGACAGGGAGGTAGGAGGTAGGGAGCAGTCTGGCAGGGAGGCAGGCAGGAGGGAGGCAGAGAGGGGAGGCAGGGGAGGAGGAGGGAAGCAGGCATGCAGGGAGGGGAGCAGGTAGGCAGGGAGCAGGCAGGCAGGGAGGGAGGTAGGGAGGGAGGGAGCAGGTGGGGAGGTAGGGAGTATGCAAGGAGGGAGGCATGGAGCAGGCAGGGAGCAGGCAGGGGAGGGGAGGGGAGGTAGGGAGCAGGCAGGGTGGCAGGGAGCAAGTAGGGGAGGGAGGGGAAGGAGGCAGGGGAGGTAGGGAGTGTAAGGAGGGAGGCATTGGAGCAGGTAGGGAGCAGGCAGGGAGGGGTAGGGGAGGTAGGGAGGTAGGGAGCAGGTAGGCAGGAGTAGGTAGGCAGACTGGGCAGGGAGCAGGCAGGGGAGGGAGGGAGCAGGTGGGAGCAGGCAGGGAGGGAGGGAGCAGGAGGAGGGAACAGGCAGGGGAGGCAGGAGGAAGGTAGGGAGGAGGGAGGGAGGTATTCAGGCTGGGAGGGAGGAGGGAGGGAGGCAGGGGTAGGGAGGGGAAGGGGAGGAGCAGGCATGGGAGGGGGCAGGGGAGGAAGGCAGGGAGGGAGGGGAGGGAGGCAGAGAGGGATGCAGGGAAGCAGGGAGCAGGCAGGGGAGGGGAGGGGAGGGAGGGAGGGAGGGAGGGGAGGCAGGCAGGCAGGTGGCAGGCAGGCAGGGAGCAGGGGAGGGGAGGGAGGGGAGGGGAGGCAGGGGAGGGCAGACAGGAGGGAGACAGGGAGGCAGGGAGCAGGTAGGAGGGAGGCAGGAGGGAGACAGGGAGGTAGGTGGGTAGGTGGGAGCAGGTAGGAGGGGAGGGAGGAGACAGGGAGGTAGGAGCAGGGGCAGGGCGGGGAGGGAGGGAGACAGGGAGGCAGGAGCAGGCAGGCAGGGGAGGGAGGCAGACAGGGAGGGAGACGGAGGCAGGGAGCAGGCAGGGAGGGAGGGAGGGAGGCAGGTAGGCAGGGAGGAAGGGAGGGACATTTTTCTGAGACACCCTATAATTCATTATATGGTTGGCTGTTGTTTCATACACTTCAATTATCAACTTTTAACTAAGGGATAAAGGAAGAATATATTCCAGTTGTTATTGTAAGTTTTAAAACGATGAGAAGATAATTCGACTTGTTTAAATAAAGGGAAAAAATTTTATCATTTACCTGATTAAAAAATAAATATCCAACTCAAAATCACAAAACATAATTTATTCATAATATAAAAAAGTCCTATTATACTTTTCTAATTTATTCGTTTATCCGGTTTTTAAAATTACATTCAGTGAAGTATATTTTGATCTCGGCAAAGTATTGAGACGGGGCGCCATGTTGTTGAAGTTGTTTTGTGATACAGTACTTCAGCTGTTTTATTATTTCTATATGTAATGCCTTCCTAAACTCCTTTATGTAACTTGTGGTCAGTAAACTTATTTATATATATTTGTCTGAGATGATAGTGTTGTTAACCTTTGATAAATGTTACAATATATCTATGGGTGATTCTTAGTTTGAAGTAAATGAAATTTCTAAAATATTTTCTGTGTAATGATAATAAGTCTTATAATTGTTTAATGATATCAATAATCTTCTAAGCTTGTAATTAGTTTTTTTTATTACGTCATGGACAATGTTGTACATAATGACGATGAAGAATTTGTTGACATGACGCTTCGTGGTCTGGTATCAAGGCGTGTCAACAACCCCAGCTGATCACCACTTCACCTCCTGTTCCCCTGACGACCACCAACCAACCCCAGCACACCACACCAAGCAGTGACTCTGAGACAGGCGAAGCAGGTGGAATTGGCATTGACTGGTGAAGCCCTTGGACTGTAAATGTAACTCAAACAGACTGGGGTGTGATGGCGGACGACCTCTCCTGTACAGCGGCTGACCAAAATAATTATTTCTCTTTTTTTCCATTATTTTTACTTGTGTTAGTTTTTCCCTCTCTAAGGTGTTGTTCCTTGACGTGACTTCACTGACAATAATATACCATTGATCAAGACTTATAAGAACAATTACTTGCTTCCTTGTTAAATTGGTGATTAAGAAATTGGTATCCAAAGCAATAGGCTATTTACTATTATCAGGCTTCAACATTAGACTACCTAAAAAAAGTCTAGTTACTATACTTCTCTCAGACTTAAACACACAACTAGATGTCTTATTCACACAGCTACTATTAGACATTAGGCTATTATAAAGCTTAAGAACAACATAGACAAACAAAGGCTAATTTCATCCCTCTCTCAAAACAGCCATTCCCGCGAGAACATCAATGGCTTTTCTCTCCCTGCTTCGATATCAACGTAAGTAAATGATGAACAATGTTGATGATGATGGTAAGGGCAGTAATTGGTGATAATAAAAATCGTAATAATAATGGAAGTAACGTAAAAGTAATGTTATCAGTAATCTTAATAAATACTTGTATTGATAAGTTCTTTTTGTTTGTATATAATATTTTCTTCCACCACCACTCACACTCCAGTAATGTCCTCCACCACCACTCACACTCCAGTAATGTCCTCCACCACTCACACTCCAGTAATGTCCTCCACCACTCACAGTCCAGTAATGTCCTCCACCACTCACACTCCAGTCCACCACCACTCACACTCCAGTAATGTCCTCCACCACTCACACTCCAGTAATGTCCTCCACCACTCACACTCCAGTAATGTCCTCCCCACCACTCACACTCAGTAATGTCCACCACTCACACTCCAATGTGTTCTCCTCCCACTCACCTCCAGTAATGTTCTCCTCCACCACTCACCTCCAGTAATGTCCACCACTCCACACTCCAATGTGTCCTCCACCACCCTCACCTCCAGTAATGTCCTCCACCACCACTCACACTCCAGTAATGTCCACACTCACACTCCAGTAATGTTCTCCTCCACCACTCACACTCCAGTAATGTCCACCACTCACACTCCAGTAATGTCCTCCACCACCACTCACACTCAGTAATGTCACCACTCCACCTCCAGTATGTTCTCCTCCACCACTCACACTCAGTAATGTCCTCCACCACCACTCACACTCCAGTAATGTCCTCCACCACTCTACTCCAGTAATGTCCCCACCACTCCACACTCCAGTAATGTTCTCCTCCACCACTCACACACTCCAGTAATGTTCTCACCTCACCTCCAGTAAGTCCTCCTCCACCACTCACCTCCAGTAATGTCCTCCTCCACCACTCACACTCAGTAATGTCCCACCACTCACACTCAGTAATGTTCTCCTCCACCACTCACACTCAATGTCTCCTCCACCACTCACACTCCAGTAATGTTTCCTCCACCACTCACACTCCAGTAATGTCCTCCTCCACCACACTCAGTATTCTCTCCACCACCACTCACACTCCAGTAATGTCCTCCACCACTCACCTCCAGTATGTTCTCCACCACTCACACACTCAATGTGTTCTCCTCCTACTCACACTCCAGTAATGTCCTCCACCACTCACACTCCCAGTAATGTTCTCCCTCACACTCCAATGTGTTCTCCTCCACCACTCACACTCCAGTAATGTCCTCTCCTCACACCCCAGTAATGTCCTCCACCACTCACACTCCAGTAATGTCCTCCACCACTCACTCAATGTCTTCTCCACCACTCACACTCCAGTAATGTCTCCTCCACCACTCACACTCCAGTAATGTTCTCCTCCACCACTCACACTCAGTAATGTCCTCCTCCACCACTCACACTCCAGCAATGTCCTCCTCCACCACTCCACACTCCAGCAATGTTCTCCTCCACCACTCACACTCCAGCAATGTCCTCCTCCACCACCTCACACTCCAGCAATGTCCTCCTCCACCACTCACACCCAGCATGTCCTCCACACTCACACTCCAGTAATGCTCTCTCCACTCACACTCCAGTAATGTCCTCCTCCACCACTCACACCCAGCAATGTCCTCCACCACTCACACTCCAGCAATGTCCTCCACCACTCACACCGTGCAATGTCCTCCTCCACCACCACACCCCAGCAATGTCCTCCTCCACCACCACACTCCAGTGTCCTCCTCCACCACTCACACCCCAGTAATGTCCTCCTCCACCACCACACCCAGCAATGTCCTCCTCCACCACTCACACACCCAGCAATGTCCTCCTCCACCACCACCCAGTAGTTTTCTCCACCACCACACTCCAGTAATGTCCTCCTCCACCACTCACACTCCAGTAATGTCCTCCTCCACCACTCACACTCCAGTAATGTCCTTCTCCACCACTCACACTCCAGTAATGTCCTCCACCACTCACACTCCAGCATGTTCTCCTCCACCACTCACACCCAGCAATGTTCTCCTCCACCACTCACACCCAGCAATGTTCTCCACCACCACACTCCAATAATGTCCTCCACCACCACACCGTAATCCTCCACCACTACACTGCATGTTCTCCTCCACCACTCACACTCCAGCACGTTCTTCTCCACCACCTCACACCCAGCATGTTCTCCTCCACCACCCACACCCAGCAATGTTCTCCTCCACCACCACACTCCAGCATGTTCTCTCCCCACCACCACACCCACCATGTCCTCCCTCACTCACACTCCAGTAATGTTCTCCACCACCACACTCCAGCAATGCCCCACCACCACACACCCACAATGTCCCTCCACCACCACACCCAGCAATGTTCTCCTCCACCACCACACCCAGCAATGTTCTCCTCCACCACACTCCACACCCAATATGTCCTCCCCACCACACACTCCAGCAATGTTCTCCTCCACCACCACACCAGCAATGTTCTCCACCACCACACCCAATAATGTCCTCCCCACTCACACCGTCAATGTTCTCCTCCACCACTCACACCCAGCAATGCCTCTCCACCACCCACACCCAGCACACCCACCCACCACACTCTCCACCACCACACCCACCATGTCCTCCACCACCACACCCAGCAATGTCTCTCTCCACCACCACACCCACCATACCCTCCCCACTCACACCCAGCAATGTTCTCCTCCACCACCACACTCCAGCAATGCTCTCCACCACCACACACTCCAGTAATGTTCTCCACCACCACACTCCAATTATGTCCTCCCCACCACACTCCAGCAATGTCCTCCTCCACCACTCACACCCAGCAATGTCCTCCTCCACCACCCACACTCCAGTAATGTTCTCCTCCACCCACTCACACTCCAGTAATGTCCTCCTCCACCACTCACACTCCAGCAATGTCCCCACCACCACACCCAGCAATGTCCTCTCCACCACCACACACCCCAGCAATGTCCTCCACCACCACCACCACACTCCAGCATGTCCTCCTCCACCACCACACCCAGCATGTCCTCCACCACTCACACTCCAGCAATGTCCTCTCCACCACCACACCCAGCAATGCTCTCCTCCACCACCACACTCCAGCAATGTCCTCCTCCACCACTCACACTCCAGCAATGTCCTCCACCACCACTCACACCCAGCAATGTCCTCCTCCACCCACTCACACTCCAGCAATGTCCTCCACCACCACACTCCAGTAATGTCCTCCACCACCACATCCAGCAATGTCCTCCTCCACCACCACACCCAGCAATGTCCTCCCACTCACACTCCAGCATGTTCCACCACTCACACCCAGCATGTTCTCCTCCACCACTCACACTCCAGCAATGTTCTCTCCACCACTCACACCCACACATGTCCTCCTCCACCACTCACACTCCAGCAATGTCCTCCTCCACCACCACACCCAGTAATGTCCTCCACCACCACACCCAGCAATGTCCTCTTCCACTCACACTCCAGCAATGTTCTCCACCACCACACTCCAGTAATGTTCCTCCTCCACCACCACACTCCAGCAATGTCCTCCACCACCACACCTGTGCAATGTCCTCCTCCACCACTCACCTCAATAATGTCCTCCACCACTCACACTCCAGTAATGTTCTCCACCACTCACACTCAGTAATGTCCTCCTCCACCTCACACTCAGTAATGTCCTCCACCACTCACACTCCAGTAATGTCCTCCACCACTCACACTCAGTAATGTCCTCCACCACTCACACTCCAGTAATGTCTCCACTCACACTCCAGTAATGTTCTCCTCCACCACTCACACTCCGATGTGTTCTCCTCCACCACTCACACTCCAATGTCCTCCACCACTCACCTCCAGTAATGTTCTCCTCCACCACTCACACTCCAGTGTGTTCTCCTCCACTCACCTCCAGTAATTTCTCCTCACCACTCACTCAATGTGTTCTCCTCCACCACTCACCTCAGTGATGTCCTCCCCCTCACACTCCAATGTTCTCCTCCTCCTCACACTCAGTGTGTTCTCCTCCACTCCACCTCCAGTAATGTCTCCACCACTCACACTCCAGTAATGTTCTCCTCCACCACTCACACTCCAGTAATGTCCTCCTCCTCACACTCCAGTGTTCTCCTCCACCACTCACACTCAGTAATGTCCTCCCACCACTCACCTCAGTAATGTCCTCCACCACTCACACTCCAGTGTCTTCTCCTCCACCACTCACACTCCAGTAATGTCCTTCCTCCCACCACTCACTCCAGTAATGTCTCCACCACTCACCTCCAGTAATGTTCTCCTCCACCCTCACCTCCAGTAATGTCCTCTTCCACCACTCACACTCCAATGTCTTCTCTCACCACCACTCCTCCAGTAATGTCCTCCTCCACCCTCACACTCCAGTAATGTCTCCTCCACCCTCACACTCCAGTAATGTCCTCCTCCTCACACTCCAATGTCCTCCTCCACCACTCACACTCCAATGTCTCCTCCACCACTCACCTCCAGTAATGTTCTCCTCCACCACTCACACTCCAGTAATTCTCCTCCACCACTCACCTCCAGTAATGTTCTCCTCACCACTCACACTCCAGTAATGTCCTCCACCACACTCACACTCCAGTAATGTTCTCCTCCACCACTCACTCAATGTGTTCTCCTCCACCACTCACCTCCAGTAATGTTCTCCTCCACCACTCACCTCCAGTGTGTCCTCCACCACTCACACTCCAGTAATGTTCTCCTCCACCACTCACACTCAGTAATGTTCTCCTCCACCACTCACACTCAGTAATGTTCTCCTCCACCACTCACCTCCAGTTATGTCCTCCACCACTCACCTCCAGTAATGTTCTCCTCCACCCTCACACCTCCAGTAATGTTCTCCTCCACCACTCACCTCATGTGTTCTCCTCCACCCTCACACTCCAATAATGTCCTCCTCCACTCACACTCCAGTAATGTTCTCCTCCACCACTCACACTCCAGTAATGTTCTCCTCCACCACACTCACACTCAGTAATGTCCTCCACCACTCACACTCCAGTAAGTTCTCCTCCACCACTCACACTCCAATGTGTTCTCCTCCACCACTCCACACTCAGTAATGTGTTCTCCTCCACCACTCCTCCAATGTTGTCCTCCACCCTCCTCCAGTAATGTTCTCCTCCACCACTCACACTCAGTAATGTTCTCTCCACCCTCCTCCAGTCATTTTCTCCTCCACCACTCACACTCAGTGATGTCCTCCCCACTCCACACACTCCAGTAATGTTCTCCTCCACCACTCACTCAATGTCTTCTCCTCCACCCTCCTCCCAGTAATGTTCTCCTCCACCTCCACACTCCAATGTCCTCCACCACTCACACTCAGTAATGTTCTCCTCCACCCTCACCTCCAGTAATGTTCTCCTCCCACCACTCCTCCAGTAATGTCCTCCTCACCTCCCAGTAAGTTCTCCTCCCACCCTCACCTCCAGTAATGTTCTCCTCCACCCTCCTCCAATGTGTCCTCCTCCACCACTCACACTCCAGTAATGTTCTCCTTCACCCTCCACTCCAGTAATGTTCTCCTCCACCACTCCTCCAATTATGTCCTCCACCCTCCACCTCAGTGTGTCCTCCACCACTCACACTCAGTAATGTCCTCTCCACCCTCCCCTCCAGTAATGTTCTCCTCCACCACTCCACACTCAGTAATGTTCTCCTCCACCTCACCTCCAGTAATGTCCTCCTCCACCACTCACACTCAGTAATGTTCTCCACCACTCACACTCAGTAATGTTCTCCTCCACCACTCACCCAATTATGTCCTCCACCACTCACCTCAATGTCCTCTTCCACTCACACTCAGTAATGTTCTCCACCACTCCTCCAGTAATGTCCTCCACCACTCACACTCAGTAATGTCTCCCTCCTCCTCCAGTAATGTCCTCCACCCTCACCTCCAGTAATGTTTCTCCACCACTCCTCAGTAATGTCCTCCTCCACCACTCCACACTCCAGTAATGTCTCCCACCACTCCACCTCCCAGTAATGTCCTCCTCACCACTCACACTCCAGTAATGTTTCTCCCACCTCACACTCCAGTAATGTCTCCTCCACACTCACACTCCAGTAATGTCCTCCTCCTCCACTCACCCCCTCCAGTAATGTCCTCCACCACTCCTCCAGTATGTTCTCCTCCACCACTCACACTCCAGTAATGTCCTCCTCCACCCCTCACACTCCAGTAATGTTCTCCTTCAACCTCCACACTCCAGTAATGTTCTCCTCCACCCTCACACTCAATTATGTCCTCCACCACTCCTCCAGTAATGTCTCCTCCACCACTCACACACTCAGTAATGTTCTCCTCCACCCTCCTCCAATGTCTCTCCTCCCACCACTCCTCCGTGTGTTCTCCTCCACCACTCCACTCCAGTAATGTCCTCCTCCTCCTCACCTCCAGTAATGTCTCCACCCTCCACTCAGTAATGTCTCCTACTCCTCCAAGTAATGTCCTCTTCATCACTCACCTCCAGTAATGTCCTCTTCCATCACTCACCTCAGTAATGTCCTCCTCCATCCTCACCTCCAATGTCTCCTCCATCCTCCACCTCCAGTAATGTCCTCCTCCATCACTCCACCTCCAATGTGTTCTCCTCCACCTCCCTCCAGTAATGTCCTCCTCCATCACTCTCACTCCAGTGTCCTCCTCCACCCTCACTCCAGTAATGTTCTCCTCCACACTCCACCTCCATGTCCTCCTACTCACACTCAGTAATTTTCTCCTCCACCACTCCTCCAGTAATGTTCTCCTCCACCACTCACACTCCAGTAATGTGTCTCTCCATCACTCTCACTCCAGTAATGTCCTCCACCCTCCACCTCCAATGTCCTCCTCCTCCTCACACTCCAATTATGTCCTTCACCACTCACACTCCAGTAATGTCCTCTTCTCACACTCAGTAATGTTCTCCACCACTCACACTCCATGTCCTCCACACTCCACACTCCAGTAATGTCCTCCACCCTCACACTCCAATGTGTTCTCCACCACTCACCTCCAGTAATGTCCTCCTCCACCCACTCACCTCCAGTAATGTCATCCACCACTCACCTCCAGTAATGTTCTCCACCTCACACTCAGTAATGTCCTCCTCCACCACTCACACTCAGTAATGTTCTCCACCACTCACACTCCAATAATGTCCTCCTCCACCACTCACACTCCAGTAATGTCCTCCTCCTCTCACACTCCAGTAATGTCCTCCTCCACCTCCAGTAATGTTCTCCTCCACCACTCACACTCCAATGTTTCTCCTCCACCACTCACCTCCAGTAATGTCTCCTCCACCACTCCTCCAATGTTCTCCTTCAACACTGCCTCCAGTAATGTTCTCCTCCACTCACACTCCAATTATGTCCACCACCACTCCCTCCAGTAATGTCCTCCACCACTCCCTCCAGTAATGTCCTCCACCACTCACACTCCAATGTCTCCTCCATACTCACTCAATGTCCTCCTCCATCCTCCACACTCCAGTGTCCTCCACCACCACCTCCAGTAATGTTCTCCTCCATCTCACACTCCGTAATGTCCTCCTCCATCTCCCCTCAAGTAATGTCCTCCTCCACTCCTCCACTGTGTCCTCCACCCTCACACTCAGTAATGTTCTCTCCATCACTCACACTCCAGTAATGTCCTCCTCCATCACTCCCCTCCAGTAATGTCCTCCTCCACTCACACTCAGTGTGTCCTCCATCCTCACCTCCAGTAATGTCCTCCTCTACTCACCCAGTGTGTCCTCCATCCTCACACTCCAGTAATGTCCTCCACCACTCACACTCAGTAATGTCCTCCTCCATCCTCACACTCCAATTATGTCCACCACTCCTCCAATGTGTCCTCCACCTCCACACTCCAGTATGTCTCCACCCTCACACCTCCAATGTGTCCTCCTCATCCTCACACTCAGTAATGTCCTCCTCCATCACTCCACTCCAGTAATGTCCTCCACCCTCACACTCCAGTAATGTTCTCCTCCTCCTCCCACACTCATTAATGTCCTCCTCCATCCTCCTCCAGTAATGTCCTCCTCTACTCACACTCCCACTGTGTCCTCCACCCTCACCTCCAGTATGTTCTCCTCCATCACTCACACTCCAGAATGTCCTCCTCCATCCTCACCTCCAGTGTGTCCTCCATCCTCACCTCCAGTAATGTCCTCCTCTACTCACTCCAGTGTGTCCTCCATCCTCACCTCCAGTCCTCTCTCCTCCAGCCTCCTTTACTCACACTCCAGTAATGACCTCTTCTACTCACACTCCAGTTATGTCCTCCTCTACTCACACTCCAGTTATGTCCTCTTCTACTCACACTCCAGTAATGACCTCCTCCACCACTCACACTCCAGTAGTGTTCTCCTCTACTCACACTCCAATAATGTCCTCTACCACTCACACTCCAGTAATGTCCTCCTCCACCACTCACACTCCAGTAATGACCTCCTCTACTCACACTCCAGTAGTGTTCTCCTCTACTCACACTCCAATAATGTCCTCTACCACTCACACTCCAGTAATGTCCTCCTCCACCACTCACACTCCAGTAATGTTCTCCTTTACCTTCTTCAGGAGCTCCTACGTTAGTAAGCCCCTCTTCCCCCTGCCGGAAATTTCCGTCAGCTCAAACTTCGGGGAGGTGTTGTCAGGAGCCTCTAGCCTCGTCGGTGGTGTCGGTAATACTCTCACCAGCGTGGGAAAGGGCGCGTCTCAAGTCCTCTCTCAAGTAGTACCCGCCGCAGCTGCTGGAGGAATACAGGCCGCCAGGTTAGTTCAGGAAGGCGGGGAAGGTTCTAAAGCTTCAGTGGGTAGAGGTGTGTGTGTGTGTGTGTGTGTACCTTATTTATCTAAATGCCACCCATTAGAAGTGGCCATGCCGAGGGAAGGAGGCCAGTGTAGGATCCCTCCATTGTTGTTGATAATTTTGTCAAGGACTATAGTGAAGCCCAGAACTGTTCTTGGCTCCACAGCTTGGGCTGGTAGGCCGGGCCATAGGTCTACCAGCCTCTGTGTGAAGAAGTATTTCCTTATGTTCGTTCTGCATGATAACTTGGTGAGCTTGTAGTTATGTCCTCTCGTGTTGGTGGTGCGGGACATCACAAAGTGTGTCCCGGGTTCACGTTTTCCACCACTTTCAGGATTTAGAATGTTTCAGTGAGATCTGCCCTATTGTGCCTTGTCTGAAGGGTTGTTAGTTCTAAGGCTCTCAGTCTACTGGGATAATCTAGATGACATAGTTCAGGAATCATCGTAGTGGCTCTGTGTTGCACCTTTTCTAGGGATGTGGTGAAGAGGATAAAAGTAAAAGTAAAGAGACCGTCCCTGATTTCCATGAAATCATTTCTCTTTTGCTTCAAGTTCATCAGAAGTTTGAGTTGTCGTGTTGTGTTGTGTGTGTTTGTGTTGAATTGCGTACTGTAGCGTGCATGTGCATGCGTACGTGTGTGTGGAGGGGGAGCAAGAGTCAACAATGTCTGACGTCATCAAACAGCTGATAATATCTACTCACTGTGTTATGACGTGTGTCTGAATAATAAATTTGGATATTATGTAAATTCTTCATACAAATTTACACGTATTCAGCATGTATATAGGCAAGGAAGGCATACAATGTGTATATATATATATATATATATATATATATATATATATATATATATATATATATATATATATATATATATATATATATATATATATATATATATATGCTGATAACCTGAAGAAAACACGAAGTTAGCGCTTTCGTGTAATTCACATCTTCAGGGGTGAGTACAGTCTGTACTCACCCCTGAATGTGAATTACACGAAAGCGCTGGGAACTTCTTTTCTTTTTTCCTCAGCATATACCTGGATCACGCGCACCTACAGTGTACACTGTACAGTGTACAGTGTTAGATCATATAAACAAAAAGTTATTTATATTAATACCTTAGAGAAAAAGTTGTTTATGTGAACCAAGTTTGTCGTCAGCCTTGTTTGGTAGACGAGGTTGGCAGCCATGATGAACCTGGGTATTATTAGCCTCAGTGATGTTATAATGAGTGTGGTCTTTGTCCTCACAGGTGGATAACGGACAACAAGAAGGAAGGCATCAGGGCAGCGACTGAAGGACTCCGGTATGCTGGTCAGCTCAGTGCAGCCGTCCTCAGAGTTCTTCTTCAGGTAAGTCTTAAAGCTACCACTTCTACAGGCAGCTCTTCATGCTATGACCCTATTTTAAGAAACTCCTCTTGTTATTGGTGATATATGCGAGTAGGTCTACTGTACTCAGGGATGCGGCGGCTGAGTGGATGAAGCACTCACCCTTTGTCTTAGGGATCACTGGTTAGATCTAGGGCACCCCCAGTTCACCCAGATGTAAATAGTTACCGAACTTTATAGTTAGGGAAATGACGGTGGTTGAGTATAGTGCCAGCCTCGCTGTCTTTATGCTTACCGTTGGCTTAGTATACAGTATATGGTGTTTTGAGAGTCGACATCAAGATAAGAAAACGCAACGTTCATATGTTGTTCGGTCCATCCTGATGATAGTAGAGGCTTCTTTCATCTCCTCCCAGGCCAATCTGCTAGAGCGCCGGGTGTGATATTCCGGGAAACGGCGAACACTGAGACATGACCAGGTGTCAGCTAACAAGATTTTTCAAAAACCAGTGTCCAGATTGACTACGTTTATTGGATGTAAGCGTCACAGGAGAAATCAGAATCACCGAAGCTCCACAACTCGCCATACTCAGTTGGATCACATCCTCATTTGGTATCAGGAGCGTGCCAGGATATCTGACTGTGACATGCCCAGGCGCCTTTCACTGAAGACTAGTCACTAACTAGATCATTGCAAGATCAGACTGCAGGAGTCTCTTCTCAGACCACCTACTTCGAAACCTCGGCGATATTTCGGCTGTCTTCGACAGCGTGGCACATAGTGTCGTTTTTCTCGTGATTTTTCAGTCCGAATCCAAGAAGAGAAAAATCCGTCCTATACACGTATTGTGGTGGTAGTCAGCAGAGCAGCAGAACAGACTATTCCCGTCATGTGTCGGCCGCAACCTGGTAGAGTAGTTTGGGAAAATGAGCCACAAGTAGTTCAAGCCCGCAAGAAAGTTGAGTAACTGAGAATATGAGATCAGAAAGGAATGGTGAACCAGATACTGCAGAGTTAGATCTCGCTAAAATTTACGAGGAGAGGTGATTAATTGCTGTGTATGACGCCATTCGGTCAATTTCATCAGTTGAGTACGAAGCCAAAGGACGTGCTGCGTGGAATGCCATCAACACGCTGGTCGGCCTCGCGGGAGACAATCCGGAAGAACTCCAGAACTATTTGAAGACGTTATTCTGCGACATGTTTAACCCGCCACCACCTCCTGATTCGAAAATTGTACCACCTCAAAATGTCACAATTCCATCTGGGAAGGAGTTCAACACTAGTTGAGTCACCGTAGCTGAAGGCCTCAACATTGCACGAGATAACGCCGGTGGGAAAGCAACAGGACTAGATGGTGTTCCGATGGAGGTGCTGCGTCTCCCGTCAGTGGCCCGATTATGAACAGCATTCTTGAAGGTAAAGAACCTCCTGATGAATGGAGAAACTCGCTGATTGTAGGAATTCCAAAGAAACCTGGAGCAACAAAGAAGCCTGGAGCAACAAACAAGGAAGACCATCGAGGGATTTCTCTGGTGTACTGTGTTGCGAGACTACACAATAAGGTTCTCCTGAAGAGATTACAACCTGGACTGGATAGTTGTTTACAACCAGAACATACTGTAGTGGTGTTCGCCGCACAGTGACCCATAGTCTGGCTCTGAGACGTGTAGTGGAAGAAGCTGCAGTTTATTAGAAAAATCTCGTCGTAATTTTCGTTGACTTTCGAAAGGCGTTTGATTCTGTCTCTAGAATATACATTGCTCAGGTTCTCAAAGCGTATAACGTTCAGCCCAATTCTAATCACCGGAATAATGGCTCTGTACAAGAGCTTCTGTTAATCACGCCAGACTGGTTATGTGACGCTATCAGCACGGCCGTCTGAGGTGCTACGGGGAGACAGATTAGCGCCTTTTCTGTTTATGCTTCTTTTAGATTGGTTGTTGCGTATGGCGATGCCAACAGAGGGAGATGGATATCACCTCTGCAGAAGAACGAGTACACGACACCCGGAAAAGCGCTGGTCTATATGGGGCAATGCCGACGACCTCGCTCTTCTGTCGTCATCCACGAGCGTTGTGCACCACAACGCATGTTCAACATCCTGGTTCAAATGGCTGCAATGGTGGGACTGCAGATAAACTCATCGAAAATAGAAATGATGAGCGTTCCGTTAGTCCAAGACATTCTAATCACTGCCACCAGTACTGACGGCCGAGTGGTGGCTCTGTTCCCGATCCTCGCGACGAATTTCTTAGGTGGCGGGGCTTAGCCTGGAGTGCGTTGGGACGACTGGCTGTTCAAGTCAGTGATCGCAACCATTTTACTCTACAACGCAGATACATGAACGTTGGCAGTTACACTCGGCAAGAACTGGCTGCTACTCACTCTCATCTGTTACGAGCGGCACTCAATATTCACTGGCTAATTCGTATCAGCGAACCGAGGTGCAACCACCCGACCAGCTACTACGTCAACGAAGGCTTCGAGTGACCGGGCACATTATTCGCTTGGGTGACCATCAGAACCACTTCGACGGGGGGCAGGGCAACACGGTAACATACAGCGATCAACTATTGAGAGATGGGAATAGTGGCGTGAAGTGTGACGGTGCAGCGCTTAATGATACATACTGTCATGTTTCCTATGTAACTGTTTACTGTAGATAGATAGGTAGATAGATAGATAGATATAGTGTACTATATCCACACTTCCTAATAGGCAGTCATACCTATGGAACCCGATCACTTCTTCAGCGGAGCATATGTTAGCAGTGACCTTAGTAACTACTGTAAGTCAAGTTGTTGTTTAACGTTAATACAAGTTGTTCATTTTGCTACGAGTGAGCCATAGAGGTTCATACTGTTCCGTGTTTGTGTTGTTATATTGTTGTGTCGTTATAGTTATAATGTGGTATATCCTACAGGTGCCCAGCATCAAGGCCCGCGTTCTCTCAGAGCTCCTCCAGGCTAGTCAACCCTTCGCTTATGCCCTCAGCGACGTCCTTGCCGAGTCTGCTGATGATCTTGGTGATATCTTTGCGGCAAAGAATGACATCTTGAAGGAAGCCTTAGAAATCTTCATCCGGCTTATACAGGACACACTTGCTCTTAAGGGACGAATTCTCGCTAAAATTGGTGCTTCTGGACTGGACTTCGGCGCCTCCACCTTCAACGCTGGCCTGAGACTCGGCACCGCGGCTGCCGAGACATCAGGTTCCGTGATCTCGGCTCTGAGTAGTGGTGTCGGGGACCTGGTACGTGTTGCCACTACAGCCGACTTCCCCCCGCCACCTGCCATCTCCTTACCCCAGTTACCTCAGCTTCCCAAATTTAGTCTTCCCTCACTAGACTTCAGCTTACTCACCTCTTACCCAACCTTGGCGCCTCTCCCACTACCTTCTAAACCTGCCTTGGCGCCTTATTCACTACCGACCAAACCCACACTGTCACCCACATCCTACAAACCAACTTCCCCATCACAGTTATACGGCCTACCAAGTCGTTAAGTTGGCCATCCAATTTTAAGCAACACTGTGGAGCTATCGAAAATTTTCCTTTCATAAATTACTGGAAAAAATGAAAAATTATCGGTATGCTCTATGTTGTGGTAGACCACTAGCGTATTATAGTAGTAGTTTACCTTGACTGTCAGGTTTACCGCTGGTTTGTTAAGTTTACCATGTTCTAAATTATCTTCTTTCCTTCCTGCGACAACCAGACTAATGTGCCGCCGCTACTTTAGTTACCGCTGGCAGATGTGTTGTGCCTTTGCCTGCAGTATCTATGGCGGCCCCTATAAGTCGTCTTTTCTGCTAAAGACAAAACCCTCGGGTAGTTCTCGCCTCTTAGTACGTCCAGTCAGTATATATTAGTTTCAAAAGCTGTGTAATGTATAGTTGATATACAGTATATTTTTGTATCGCATGGGTGAAAAATAATACCAATAAAAGATTATATACACTTAACGGGTTAATATATGGAAAGCAGAAAGTATTTATCTCTGGCAAAATATATTGTTTTTGTTTGCTTAAATTTTTTTTATCTTCAAACCGTTTAATATAGAGTAGTTGTGTGTTCGTTTGTCACACTCGGCTAGGCTACACGTACTCAGTGAGAGGTAAACATACGAACACCAAACTCAATCTGTAAGAGAAAATGTCACTTCTTAATCTTTAAATATTGATGACCAGAGTATGTGCAGTGTTAACTTACTGACTACGCCATTAAACAGCTTAGTTGTTGAAGCTCAGTAATACATTATAACATCAACAAGACCTTAGTTGTTGAAGCTCAGTAATACATTATAACATGAACAAGACCTTAGTTGTTGAAGCTCAGTAATACATTATAACATGAACAAGACCTTAGTTGTTGAAGCTCAGTAATACATTATAACATTAACAAGACCTTAGTTGTTGAAGCTCAGTAATACATTATAACATGAACAAGACCTTAGTTGTTGAAGCTCAGTAATACATTATAACATGAACAAGACCTTAGTTGTTGAAGCTCAGTAATACATTATAACATCAACAAGACCTTAGTTGTTGAAGCTCAGTAATACATTATAACATCAACAAGACCTTAGTTGTTGAAGCTCAGTAATACATTATAACATCAACAAGACCTTAGTTGTTGAAGCTCAGTAATACATTATAACATCAACAAGACCCTAGTTGTTGAAGCTCAGTAATACATTATAACATCAACAAGACCTTGGTTGTTGAAGCTCAGTAATACATTGTAACATGAACAAGACCTTAGTTGTTGAAGCTCAGTAATACATTATAACATGAACAAGACCTTAGTTGTTGAAGCTCAGTAATACATTATAAAATCAACAAGACCTTGGTTGTTGAAGCTCAGTAATACATTATAACATGAACAAGACCTTAGTTGTTGAAGCTCAGTAATACATTATAACATCAACAAGACCTTAGTTGTTGAAGCTCAGTAATACATTATAACATCAACAAGACCTTAAGGTTAGCTCAGTAATACATTATAACATCAACAAGACCTTAGTTGTTGAAGCTCAGTAATACATTATAACATCAACAAGACCTTAGTTGTTGAAGCTCAGTAATACATTATAACATCAACAAGACCTTAGTTGTTGAAGCTCAGTAATACATTATAACATCAACAAGACCTTAGTTAAGTATTGTTAAAAAAAATTAAGGCGGTTAATCCTATAAATAATGTAATGGTTATTAAAAAAACGGCAAATTCTTTTCATCTTTCCAGTATAGTAATGTGTTGCTCTCATGCGTAATTTAAACACACCGCGGTAAATATAAGCTGTTTGTTTACAGTATTTTGATAGGAAATTAGAATCCATATCAGCAGTAATGCTTCAGAACTGTATCTTCATTTTTATCTCTATAATCTATATATTTATACATTGAAATATTTATCATTGATGTGAATTTGCACCTTTGTGTTTAGTGCCGTGAGTCGGGTGTTATATAATTAATTGTAGTATTTCTGTGTTCACTCTGAAGATGGTAATATTATTATTATTATTATTATTATTATTATTATTATTATTATTATTATTATTATTATTATTAAATTATTATTATTATTATTTATTATTATTATTATTATTATTATTATTATTATTATTATTATTATTATTATTATTATTATTATTATTATATTAAACGATTGATTGGTTAATTATTAATTGTCATTTTCCCCGTACTATTCCTGCTATTGTTGTCTGTCTCTTCGCTCTCCCTTGAGTTGTGGAATTATGATAATTATTGCCTGCCTTAAGTTCCGCCTTCCATTGATGGTGTCTGCAGTGTATGTATGTATGTATGTATGTTATATTTCTGTTAATACGTCGTTCTTGTACTTCTCTGACCAATACAAAGTTCTCCTGTATTAGGGGTTACTGTGTGTTGTTCTAATACATATTGTGGCAGAAGTTACCGTCTCTCCACACCACACTGCTCCCCAACACTCCTCCATACAAGACATTATAAGGCTAAACTAAAATTTATAATTATCAGAAACTAATATATATTTTAACTTTATTCATAGCGTCCCATTTATCAAAGCTATAACTATTTTCTGCTCATAATGTGACATATTGCCAAATTCATCCTCTTTGACTGCCGTGTGTGTGTGTGTGTGTGTGCGTGCGTGCGTGCGTGAGGAAGAGAATATGGGCAGCAGTGTAGGGGTGATCTTGGTGCTCTCCCGTCAACGGTGCGTGTTACCTTATTATGTTATAAATTAATAAACTGTTTTGTCATTAGTATGTGTGTTGTTTCTTTCTCCCCAAGCCTCGGTCACTCCCCAAACAATACACCTAATATGGTTGAGTAAATATACTTGTAGTGGCTGCTAAGCCCACCTGCAAATACTCTCCCCACCTGTACCTCCTTCCTCTCACTGTTGTACACCTCCCTGTGTCTCAGTCCGGGACCACAGGCTATCTTCCTTACTGTACATCAAGTTTGGTTGATTGTGATAACACTTACTGGCAACGACAGAGATAAGTCCCGTTCTTCCGTCTCCGGTCCAGGCTTTATTGTAACTAGGGTTGCCAGCTCAGAGGGTTTTCAAATCAGGAGTATAGCGCCTCCAGGAGACCTCCCAAGGGCGACGGCGCCTCCAGGGACCCTCCCAGGGGCGGAAGCGCCCCCAATAACCCTTCCAGAAGCGGCGTGCCCCAGGAACCCTCCCAGGTACCCTCCCAGGGACGGCGGCATCCCCAGGGACCCTCCAAAGGGCAGCGGCACTACAGGAAGCCACCCAGGGCCGGCGGGCCCAAGAAACCCTTCCAGATGCGGCGGCTCCCCCAGGGACCAACTCAGGGGCGGCGACGCCCCCAGAAAACCTACCAGAGACGGTGGCGGGGGCACCCAGGCCCTATTAAGGGCGGTGCTGCCCACGGAGAAACCCGGGAGCGGCGGTACCCCAGGAACCCCCAGAAGCGTCGGTGCATCCAAGGACCCTCCGGGGTGGGGGCACCCCCAAAGACCTTCCCAGGGACAGCAGCACTCCCGGGAGGCCCCCAGGTGACGGCGGCATCCCTAGGGACCCTTTCAAGGGTGGCGGCGCCCCGGGACCCTCGCAGGAGGAGCGGTACCACCAGAGACCCTCCCATGGACGGCATCACTCCCGGCCCCAGATGGCGGCATCCCTAGGGACCAGGGTGGCGGCATCCCCAGGGGCGGCGACCCCAGGGATGTCAGCACACCCAGGGACCCTACCAGGGGTAGTGGCGTCCCCAGGGACCCTCCCAGGGGCGGTGCCTCCCCCAGAGATTATTCCAGGAACCTCCCAGGGCGAGGCGCCACCAAGGACCATCCCTGGGGCGGTGGCGTCCCCAGGGACCATCCTAGGGACCCTCTCCGGGCGGAGTATCCCCAGGGAATCTGCCAGGGGCGTTGGCGCCCAGGACCCCAAGATCGCAGCACCCCTGCTGCCCTTCCAGGGATCCTGCCAGGGGCAGTGGCGCACCCAGGAACCCCAGGGACGGCATCGCCCCCAGGTACCTTCTCAGGGACGATGGTGCCCACGGGGACCTTTTCAAATGTGACGGTGCCTCCAGTAGCCCTCCCAGCGGCGGCGGCAGCGCCTCCAGGGGCCCTCTCAGGGGCAGTGGTGCCCCAAAGGGTAATCCCAGGGGCGGCGGCGACCCCAGGGACCCTTCCAGAGGCAGCAGCGGGACCAGGGACCCTCCTAGGGGCGGCGACACCTTTAAGATACCCTCCCAGCGGCGGTGGCGGTAGTGGCGACCCCAGGGGCCCTCTCAGGGTCAGTGATGCCCCAGGGACGGCGACCCGAGAACCTCCCAATGGCGGCAAAACCCCAGGGACCCTTCCAGAGACGGCGACACCCCGAGAAACCCTCCGAGGGACGGCGGCGCCACCCGGGACCCTTCCAGTGGCGGCGCCTCCATAGACCCTTCCAGGGGCGGCTGCGCCGCCAGGGACCTTTCAGGATGGCGTTGCCCCCAGAAACCCTCCCAAGGATGGTGGGGCCCCGTGGGACTTCTCAAGGGGGCAGCAACCACCCCAGGGAGCCTCCCAGGAGCGGTGATACCCCCAGGCACTCCCAGCTACGGTGATGCCCCCAGAATCCCTCCCAGAGAGAGCCCCAGGGGCCTCCCAGGGGTGACTGCGCCCCAGAGACCCTTCCAGCGGTGGTGATGCTCTCAGGGACCATCACATGGAAGATGGCGTCCCCAGGGTCCCTCAAAAACACAGCGACGCCCCCAGGGACCATCCCAGGGGCACCAGACGTTCCTAAGGACCTTGCCAGAGACGTCATGCCCCAGAGTCTCTTCCAGGGACGGTGGCGCCTCTAGGGACCTTCCCAGGGCGCGGGCGCCCCAGGACCCTTCCAGGGGCGACGGCACCAAGGACCCTCCCAGGTGCAGCAGCGTAACCAGAAACCCCCAGGCGGCGGCGCCCCACGGACCCTCCCTGAAGCGCCTACGCTCCCAGCGCGACCTTCAAGGGACGGGGGTGGCAAAGGAACCCTCACAGAGGCGACAGCACCTTCTGGGACCACCCATAAGGCGGCACCCCCAGGGATCCTCCCCAGGGCGGTGGCGCCCCTAGGAACCTTGCCAGGGGCAACGTGCCCACCCCCCAGCGACCCTACGGCATGAGTGGTCGATGTGTATATATATTGGAGACCGGACAAAACCCCAACGGACCCCAGTCTCATATAAAAACAGTTTTTAAGGTTAGGAATTAAGGAAGGTAGGAAGAAGGAAATAAGGTTAGGGTTAGGGTTGAAGTTGCTGCTGCTAGGTTGAGGAAGAGGTTGTTAGTTGCTAGTTAGTTGCTGCTGCTGGGGTTAGGTTAGGTTAGGTTGTGGTTGGGTTGGGCTGGCTAGAGTTTAAAGAAGGTTGCTAGGTTAGGTTGAAGGTTGCGGTTAGGGCTAGGTTATGGGGTTAAGCTAGCTTTGGGTTAAGAAGCAAGAAGAAAGGTTAAATATGGGCTGGGCTATTCAACAATAACAAAAGAAGGTTAGGTCAGGTTAGGCTAGGTTGCAAGGATGGGTCAAAACTGGGTTCAACAAGTAATAATATCAATAGGTTAGGTCAATATTTAATAGGGTTGTCACGACAGTTAGGTTAGGAATGGAATAAATAACAAAACAGGGTGTGGGTTGGGTCATGAAATAGGTTAGGTCATTGGGTTGATTGGGCAGAGGGTGGGGTTGGCAGGGGTGGGGTGGGTGGGGGTAACAAGGTTGCTGGTTGGGGTGGTTGTGGCTGGGCTGGGTTGGGTTGCTAGGTTGGCTGGTTGGGCCTGGTTAGGTTGGGTCTGGTTAGGTTGGGTTCGGTTCTGTTAGGTTGGTTGAGGGTACTGATGGTTGTCATACTTTTAAGCTCACTTTAGAGTTCGTACGAACGTGAAGCGTTCCTACGTATTCAAAGCTTCCAGCGAATCCCTGGCGAAGTTATAAGTCTAAAAAATTTTGAAAGAAAAAAGAAGAATTGAATGAGAAGATTAAGATGAGACAGTATCAGAAGAAGAAAAAATTGCAAAAAGGAAAATTGTTGAAAAAAGTTGCAAAATGGTAAAATTATGGGGTGTTCTAAACGCTTTGAATTATGGGATAAGTCTGGAAAGTGAGGTTAGGTTCGAGTTTGGTTTGGTTAGGTTAGGTTAGGGTAGGTTAGGTTAGGTTTTGGTTAGATAGGTTAGGTTAGGTTCTTAACTTTGATTGGTGGACTCAAACTCTCCAACCTGGATCGAACTCGTAACAATGGTTTTAAATTAGACAAATTTAGATTTAGGCGCGAGATAGGTAAACATTGGTTTGAAATAGAGTAGTGGACGAGTGAAACAAGTTACCAAACATCATCATTAACCTCGAATACGCTGAATAGCTTCAAACATAGGTTGGATAGATATATGAGTGATAAGGGTTGTGAATGGATCGTTCAGTATGGGCCAATAGGCCCGCTGCAGTTTCTTCCGTTCTTATGTTCTTAAGGGATCCTCCCAGGGACGTCGGCGCCCCCAGGGACCATCCCAGGGTTGGCGGAACCACCAGGGACCCTCCAAGGGACGGCGGCGTCCTCATAGAAAATCCCAGAGGAGGCGGGGTCACCAGGACCTGCCAGGGGCGGCTGTGACCCCAGGGAACCTCCCAGGGGCGGCGGTACCCCAGGACCTCCCAAGTTGCAAAATGGTAAAATTATGGGGTGTTCTAAACGCTTTGAATTATGGGATAAGTCTGGAAAGTGAGGTTAGGTTCGAGTTTGGTTTGGTTAGGTTAGGTTAGGGTAGGTTAGGTTAGGTTTGGTTAGGATAGGTTAGGTTAGGTTCTTAACTATGATTGGTGGACTCAAACTATCCAACCTGGAGCGAACTCGTAACAATGGTTTTAAATTAGACAAATTTAGATTTAGGCGCGAGATAGGTAAACATTGGTTTGGAAATAGAGTAGTGGACGAGTGGAACAAGTTACCAAACATCATCATTAACTCGAATACGCTGAATAGCTTCAAACATAGGTTGGATAGATATGAGTGATAAGGGCTGGGTGTGAATGGGACTGCCCAGTATGGGCCAATAGGCCCGCTGCAGTTTCTTCCGTTCTTATGTTCTTAAGGGATCCTCCCAGGGACGTCGGCGCCCCCAGGGACCATCCCAGGGTTGGCGGAACCACCAGGGACCCTCCAAGGGACGGCGGCGTCCTCATAGAAAATCCCAGAGGAGGCGGGGTCCCCAGGACGGCCAGGGCGGCGTGACCCCCAGGAACCTCCCAGGGCGGCGGTACACCCCAGGACCCCAAGGACGGCGGTGCCCCCAGGCCTTCCAAGGGCCCTCAGGGACCCCAATGGTATGCTTGGTCGATGTGTAATATATATTACATACTTCCAGCTTTCCCTTACTTAACTATGATTGGTGGACTATTATTTTAACCCACCAAATTACAGCCAATAGGAGGAGAGAGCAGTCAGTCAGCACACCACCACTATTTATATTTTCCTGTTGGATATTATTCTCCGTTTCGTTGTTCATGATGCGATGATACTGGAAATGTGATGGGCGGTATATTTATTTAACGTTGCATCCCCCAGAGTTCTAAATAGCGCTAAAACTACTGCACCCAGGGTCCCTACAGGTCTGGCACTCCCCGGGGCGGCGGCGGCACACCCAGAAACCCTCCCAGGAACGGCGCCGCCCCTAAGGCTCCTCCCAGGGGCGACGGCTCCCAGTGACCTTTCCAGGAGCCGCGGCGTCCCCGGGGTCCCTCCCAGTGGCGGCGGCTAAAGGCGTAGGCGCCCTGAGTGACCCTTCCTGGGGTGGTGGCACCTCTAAGGACCCTCCAAGGAACCGACACCAGGAACCACCCCAGGGACCCTCGGAAACTCTCCCAGAGACAGCTGCGCCACCAGGAGCTCCCAGGGCGACAGAGTCACCAGTAGACCTCCTAACGGTGCCGGTGACGGCGCCCCCAAAGAGCCCTCTCAGAGGCAGTGACTATCCCAAGGGCGGCGACGCCCCCAGAAACTCTCCCAGCGACGGCGCCGCTCCCAGGGACCCTCCCAGGGGCGGTGGAACACCCAGGGACCCTTCCGGGGGCTCAAGCGCCCAAAAGACCCTCCCATAGACTGTGGCACCCCCAGAGGGACTTCCAGGAGCGACGGCGTCCCCAGGTACCCTGCCAGGGACGGCGGCGCCCAAACGACTCACCCAAAGACAGCGGCTCCCCCAGGAGCCCTCCCAGGGATGGCGATGCCCCCAAGGGCCCTGTCAGAAAAGGGTGGCGCCCCAAGGCTGCCATGGGCGCTGGCGCCCCCAGGGGCTCTCCCAGGGACAGCGGCGATCCCAGACACCATCCCAGGGACGGTAGATCCTCCAGCGGCCCTCCCAAAGACGGCTAGCTTCCCAAGGGCCGTGCCAGAGGCGGTGGCGCCCAAAGGGACCCTCTCATGAGCGATGGCGACCCCAGGGACCCACTAGAGGTGGTGGAGCCTCCACAGGCCCTCTCAAGGAAGGCGGCACCCCCAGGGGCCCTCCTAGGGACGACGGCCCTCCCAGGCGCCCTGCAAGGGACGGTGGCGTCTCCAGGAACCCTTCCAGGGACGCCGGCACCTCCAGGGGCTTTCTGACGGACAGCGGCGCCTCCCGGGGCTATGCCAAGGACAGGGCGCCCCACGGGCCCTACCAGGTACGCTGGTGCACCCAGGGGCTCAGCCAGGGGCACTGGCGCCCCCGGGGGTCCTTCCAGGGACAGCCAGTGGCCTCCCCAGGAACGGCTAACTTCCCAGGGGCCGTGTCAGGGGCGGTGGCGCCCACAGGGGCCCTCTAGGGGTGGTGGAGCATCCACGGGCCCTCTCAGGAAAGGTGGCGCCCCCAAGGGCCCTCCTCGGGACGACGGCGCTCTCAGGGGTTCTTCCAGAGACGGCGGCGCCTCTAGGGGCCCTGTCAGGGGCGCTGGCGCCTCCAGGGGCCCTGCAAGGAACTCTGGCGCCCGAGGGCCCCTGTCAGGGGCGCTGGTGCCTCCAAGGCTCTCCCAGGAACAGCGGCGTACCTAGGGGCCCTGCCAGGGGCGCTGGCAGCCCCAGAAGCTCTCCCAGGGACGTCGGCACCCCCAGGGGCTCTTCCAGGGACAGCAGAGCTTCCACAGGCCCTCTTAGGGGCGGTGGCGAACGCAAGTGCTCTCCCAGGGACAGCCGCGCTACCAAGGGCCCTCCCAGAGACGGTGGCGCCCCCAGGGGCCCTTCCAGGGACGGTGGACCCCCAGAAGCCTCTGCCAGGGACGCTGGCATCCCCAGGGGGTCTCCCAGGGACGTCGGCGCCCCCAGGTGCTCTCCCAGGGACGTCGGCTCCCCCAGGGGCTCTCCTAGGGATGTCGGCGCCCCCAGGGGCTCTCCCAGGGACAGCAACGCTCCCAGGAACCTTCTCAGGAGCGGTGGCGCCATAAGGGCCCTTGCCAGGAACAGTAGCTCTCCCAAGGACGGCGGCGCCACCAGGGGCTCTCCCAGGGACAACGGTGCTTGTAACTATAACTTTTTAGTAACAGTGTATAACATGGTAATGGGGAGAATAAATATATTCTCTACCTTTACCAACTGTGTATCTGTTGGGTTACTGTTACCGTAAGTATAACAACTACTTGTCACCACTTGTAACAATCACTTGTGAAGCAAGTTACCTTATATTCTAGACGAACTAAAAAATTAATAAATGTTTATTGGGTCTTCAATAAGAAATCCAATAGGTTCCTTTTGTGTGTTTATCATAAAAGGTTTCTATGTACACTTAATCACTGTAGCTATGGGTGTTAAATGAGGACGGAAGCTATCTTATAGTAGCTCTTCTAAAATACGTCCGATTGATGTGAGACTGGGAGTGAACTTGAGTTGGGACCCTCGACGGAGAGCAGAAATATATCCGACGTCCTCCCTCGAGGAAACGACGGAAGCATATCAACGATGGCTCTAAATAACATCTTCCTCTCGTCCGGGTAATCAAACTACTGCCGCAATAGGTGCCAGAGAGCCGGTTACTTAATCCTTAGCTCAGCACCAAGTGATGCGACTTCCCGTGGACACACCTTATCACGTGCTCTGAACATGCTACCTCATAGCTAGTGGAAAGTTACAGGGGATGATAGTTATACAAGTCTAATATAATTAACCCACATTTATATAAATACTTCTGCCTAATAAGACCGGGGCTAATACAAGCTCCCAGGAGCGCTGGCACCCCCAGGTACTCTCACAGGGACAGTGGCACTCCCAGGGGCCTTCTCAAAGACGGTGGAGCCTCCAGGGGCACTGCCAGGGACAGCGACATTCTCAGGGGCTCTCCCCGGGACGGCGGCACCCCCAGGGGCTCTCGCAGGGACTGCTGCACTCCCAGGGGACCTCTTCGGGGCGGTGACGCCACCAGGGGCTATGAAAAGGACAACGGCTCTCCCAGGGGCCCTCCCAGGGACGGCGACACCCCCAGGGTCTCTCCCAGGGACAGCGGTGTCCCCAGGGGTTCTCTCAGGGGCGCCAGCACTCCCAGGGGCTCTCTTAGTGGCGGCGGCGCTTCCATAGACCCTACCAGGGACGGTGGTACCCAAAGGGACCCTCCCAAGGACTGTGGGGCCCCACGGGATCCTTCCAGGGGTGGTGAACTGGGGATTAATTGTCAATAATTGCTAGTGCTACTTGTGAACAGGGCTGTGCCCTTCTGGGGGCTGAGCTACTGGCTGAGTTAGTGAAGGTCAAAGAAGAAAACTTTAAATTAAAGGAAGTGATAGCGAGGATGAAGGAAAAAGACACGAGACAAGGAAAGCCCTTGTCTGACGAAAACTCATGCGAATGGAAGGTTGTAAGGAGAGGAACAACCAAACTGGTGGTGAAAAAAGACTCTGTTAGTCCTTTGATAGACGAATTGGACATTAGCATAGCAAGGGACAGGGCTGACAAGGAAGGTACGAAAGCCTTAATTGTTGGTGACTCCCAGTACGGTACCTGGATTGAGCTTTTTGTGATAATAATAAACAAAGGATGAGGGTTTGTTTGCTAGGAGCTGGGGTGGGGGATATAGTTGACAAGATGGACAATATCTTGTCTGGTAATGGGAACAAACCCATTATCTGCCTTAGTGCAGGAGGCAATGATATTGGCAGGTGTAAGAGTGAGGAGCTCCTTGATAAGTTCAAGGCAGCTATAGAACGTATTTGGGTGAAGGGAGGGATCCCTATCGTATGTAGTGTCCTGCCTTGAAGGAGAGTTGGCAATGAATGGTTGTCGAAGGCAGTTGGTGTCAACGGCCGTCTTGACAGATATTGCAAATCAATATCAGTCCCATTCATTGACAACTGGGACAACTTTTACGGCAGAAGGGACCTTTATGCTAGGGATGGGGTGCATCTGTCTAGGGATGGGGTGGCAACCCTGGCTGGTTCTCTCGAGAGGACAGTTCATAAGATGTCAAAGTCTTTAAACTGCTAGGGGAATATATGGGCACGGGGGTGGAGGAGACTGCAGTGGGAGCAGGTAAACAAAGTGTAAGGTTAGAGGGAGATAGTGCAAGGAATGATAACAAAACCAAATTAGGCAGGGAGTTAAAGCCAAAACGTATCAAAGAGAGGACTCAGATCATGACTAACTTAAATGTCTACTATGCAAACAGTAGAAGTACGAGAAACAAAATGAATGAAATCAGGGCGTTGGTAAGCGCCGAAAAAAATCGATATAATAGCATTCACCGAAACATGGATAAACTTAGACTAACGTGAATTACCTTTCGAATACCAAATTGCAGGTTACAAATTATTCCATACTGATAGGCAGATTAGGAAAGGAGGCAGAGTAACAATCTATGTCAGGGATAATCTGAAGTGTAAAATAAATAAGGAAATAAAAATTGAACTGAATACAGAAACAATTTGGATAGAATTAACTGATGGTAGGCAAAAATTAATCACAGGAGTAATATATAGACCTCCTAATCTTAATAGAGTTAATGAGTGACTTATCTGGGATGAAATGCTCAGGGCATCCAGGCATAGAAAAGTCTGAATAGTAGGCGACTTTAACTTTAGCCAAATAGATTGGATTGACTTTACGGGTAACTCAGAATCAGAGGATTTTCTTGAAATAGTTCAGGACTGTTTTCTAACTCAACATATAACTGAACCCATCCGGGGTAATAATATACTGTACTCGATTTAGTTCAGTCAAACAGAGAAAACCTCATTAGTAATGTCGAGGTAGGGAACGAACTTGCTTATAACGATCAAAAATAAATAAGATTCTAATTAGAATTTAGTGGCAGTCGCAAGGAAAATTCCATTAAAGTCCTCGATTTCAGAAGGGCAAACTTTGATATGTTGAAAAGGCAGCTGAGAGAAGGGGTATCACGTTTGGGGATGGATTACATGACCACACGTAAGGTAACCTCACACAATGTACCCACAGAGGGCGACCTCACACAATGTACCCACAGAGGGTGACCTCACATTACCTGGAGACCTGACAACGATATCCTCACAAAATATGAGGATGACCTGATCACGAGATCTGAGGTTCACGAGTTCCACAACAATTTAAATAATGAGTTACTGTAAGATTGTACCATCGTACGACATGTTTTCCCATGTTGAGATGGGGCTTGTCTTTGGCAGCGCCCGGTTGCCAGTCACCAGCTGACGCTGTTAGAATAAAGTCTACAAAGAACGTGGTCTATGACTCCAACCTCTCACATGGCGCAGTGAGTAGGATATGTCTGGGCCCGACACGCCATTACAGCCCTGACAAGAACGCTGACATGGCCCCTACACATCCACGATTCTCGACGCCCTCAAGGGGACGCCAGGGCTTCTCTACACCGGCGGGGAACACCACGCGCGCCCAGCAGCAGGCCATGAGTGCAGTGATGGCTCAGATGGCGTCTCTAGTTGCTGGCGGTGGTCATGCTTCTATGCCGGTCATGAAGCCCTCAGCAGCTGTCGTACCAGAGAAGTGTGAGGCAGAAATGCCAGCAGCTGCGTTTAAGACATGGAGGCGGTCCATGGAGTCATGGGTGCTGTTGAACGGGTGGTCACAACTGGTGGCCACACTCCACATTCGCCTGAACTGCATCCCTGCACTCCAAAGGGTGATTGACTCGAGATACCCCAGCGGTCAGTGGGAGCAGCTCTCGCCCAAAGAAGCCCTGGACGCCATCAGTGGAATGGTTCTTCAATCTTCAAACCAAGCTGTGAAATGGAACGAGTTTTTCAACAGCAAACAAGGTGAAGAGGAGCCCATGAAAAGGTATTTTCAACGATGCTTCGCAGAGGCAGTGGAGTGTGAATTTAAATGTCCCACCTGTGATAACGACCTCTCTGAGTACATGCTATTACGTAAAGTTATGGTGGGCCTGAGTAACCCAGTGTTGAAAAGGGAAATTTTCCAGGGGTACTCTAGTTATAATAGTGTTGAAGTGCTTAGAAACAAATGCATGTTATTTGAGGCAGCAGTGAGAGATGCTGGTGTATTGTGTCGTACGTCTGGCCAGGCAGTGGTGGGAACAGCCGCGGAGGCAGTGGCGGTTGGTGATGACGTCACCGGTGAGTCTGAGGTAGCTGCCGCCCGACCTCGACACCCCAGTCGCGTGCACTGTGGTAACTGCGGCATGTCACATGCCTCTGGTAAAAGTAACTGCCCTGCAAGTGGGGCTACATGTCGCAATTGCTGTAAGGTTGGCCACTTCAAAAGGTGTTGTAGGAGTAAGTCAGCCCTAAGTGCTCCTGTGGATGTGTCAGGCGCTGTTACAGTGGCAACAGCCCAGCTATCCCGCCACCCCAGGTTACAAGTGTTCGTGTCCCAGGCCGGGGGCAATTCCCCCGCCACCCCTGTGCTGGCTGTAGCTGACATGGGTGCTATGGTGTGTGTGGCAGGTGCATCCCTGCTCCGGGACATCGGTTTGTGTCCGGGGCAACTTCGGGCCCGTAATGGCCTAAAGGACGTGGCAAACAAACAGCTCAAGTGTCTGGGGTCCGCCCCCTGCCTCCTCGGTGTGGACGAGGGGTCCACCGTCCAGGAGGTCTACTTCGTGCAGACAGCCAAGGCCCTCTATCTGTCATTGGAGGCCTGCAAGTGCCTCAACTTGGTGCCTGTCGACTTCCCGCTCCATGGACGTGCTGTGGCTGCCGTGAGCGATGGAGGGGGGCAACACTCTGCCGACGATCTACCTCCGAACCCTTTACCTGAGAGCAGCCGTTTCCTGCCGAGGCCAGTTGAGATACCCTTGCCTCCTTTGGAGGAGAATGTGGCCAGGCTGGAGGCATGGCTACTCACACACTTTTCGTCTACCGCATTCAACACCAGCAGGTCCCCACTGCCAGTCATGACTGGTCCCCCTCACCGTATCCACCTGACGCCCGGCACGACCCCCTACGCCTGTCACACACCCGCTCCCGTTCCGAAACACTGGGAAGCGGAGGTGAAGGACCAATTGGAGGAGGACGTCAGGAGAGGCGTCATCCAGCCAGTGCCTGCTGGTGAGGCTACGGAGTGGTGCGCCAGGATGGTCGTGGTGGCCAAGAAAAACGGTCAGCCCAGGCGCACTGTGGACTTCCAATGCCTCAATGCAAGCTGTCTGAGGGAGACGCACCACACACCTGCACCATTCGACATGGTGTCTGGGGTGCCAGTGCACTCGTTCAAAACCGTCGCCGACGCCTTTTGGGGATTTCATCAAGTGGAGTTGGAGGAGGGGAGTAGACGCCTGACCACATTCATCACGCCGTGGGGCCGTTTTCGATACTGCAGGACGCCCATGGGACATTGCTCAGCGTCAGATGCTTACACCAAGAGGTTTGACGACGCTATTCAGGATGTGCCCCGCAAGTACAAGTGCGTGGATGACACTCTCAGTGTGAAGGGGGCGTTCTGGCACACTTACGATTTTCTGGAGACCTGCGCTCGCACAGGTATCACGCTGAAACCAGAAAAGTTCTTGTTCTGCAGGAGAGAAGCCGAGTTTGTGGGTTTCCTCCTGGGGTGGGACCTCTACCAGCCCACTGCCCAACGTCTGTCAGCCATCAAGGACTTCCCCATGCCGGATCAGCCATCAATCACTGACATCAGGTCCTGGCATGGCTTGGTTAACCAGTTGGCTCCCTTCCTTGCCACTGCACCTGTGATGGAGCCCTTCCGTGAGCTCCTCAAGAAGCCAGTGGGCAAGCAGGTGTATTGGGACGACCAGCTGCGGCTCAAGTTTCGCCAGGCCCAGGACACCATCTGTCAGTTGGCCAGAGACGGCTTGGTGTACTACGACAAATCCAGGCCTACGGCAGCTGTCACTGATTGGAGCAGGGAGGGCATCGGCTTCGTCGTCCTGCAACAATACTGTGCCTGTGCCTCTCCAGAGACGCCCTTCTGCTGCAGAGGAGGGTGGCGGTTGGCTCTGTGTGGTAGCCGACATCTGAGCACGGCCGAGGCCGGTTATGCTGCAGTAGAAGGGGAGGCCCTGGCTGTGGTGTGGTGCCTGCGCAAGGCCAGGCTGTTCCTCCTTGGCTGCCCGAACCTCATTCTGGTGATGGACCACCGCCCCTTAGTTGGCTTGCTAGGGGACAGAGCCCTCACGGATGTGGCGAATCCGCGCCTGTTCAGGCTCAAGGAGAAGACCCTGCAGTACCGATTCACGGTCAAATACTTGCCAGAGAAGCGGAATTGTGCAGCTGACGCCCTATCGCGCTTCCCCTCCCTCAGGGCGGCGCCTGATGCGGAAGACATGGACCAAGAGGAGGACCTGTGCGCTGCAGTGTGTGCAGTCACAATCGCAGCACTGGATCAGGATGGGTGCATCACTATGGACGAAGACACAGTGTGCAAAGCGGCTGCGGACGACCCAGTGTACCAGATTCTAGTGTCGAGGGTGCTGGCGGGCGACTGGCACCCCCACAAGTCGCAGGAGGTGACCTGTCTGCGCCCGTACTTCTCGGTGAGGGACAGGTTGGCTGTGGTCAGGGGTTTGGTCACCTACACCTTTGACCAGGGCTGCGTGCGCCTCGTCATCCCCGACTCCCTCCGCCACCGGGTCGCCGTTAACCTGCATGTGGGGCACCAGGGCCTCGACTCAATGCTCAGGCGGGCCCGGCAGTCTGTCTATTGGCCTGGCATGGAGGGTGACCTGCAGTATCATCGGTCCCGGTGTGCTGCTTGCGAGACCCACGCCCCTTCCCAGCCTCCGGAGTCGTTGGTTCTGACCCCAGCGCCAGACTATCCCTTTCAACAAGTGGTGGCCGATTTGTTCCACCTGCAGGGCCGCACGTACCTAGCATATGCTGACCGACTGACAGGTTGGCTGGAGATCGCCCACTTTCCCAACAAGGCCACCTCTGGAAAAATCATTGCCAGTCTGTGGGCCTACTTCACGAGGTGGGGGGTACCTGAGCAGATCTCCACGGATGGAGGTACCAACCTTGCCAGCCTTGAGATGACAGATTTCCTCAAGTCATGGGGGGTCGAGGTGCGCCTCTCGTCGGCCCACTTCCCCCAGTCCAATGGCAGGGCAGAGGCTGGGGTCAAGGCTGTCAAGAGGCTCCTCAGGGATAACACTGGGCCCGGGGGTAGCCTGGACTGCGATAGGACATCCCAGGCCCTCCTCCAGTACCTGAACACGCCTCTGCGGGGGGTGAACAAGTCGCCCGCCCAACTTGCCACCGGCCGCCAGCTCCGTGACGGCGTTCCCGTGGCCAGACAGCACTATAAGGTGGACCAGCACTGGCAGCGGGCACTTCGTATGAGGGAGGTGCGCTTGGCCGAAACCCAGGATGGGGTCCTGTCGCAGAGGGAGGTATCCCGCCAGCTGGCTCCCCTAGTCGTGGGCACGCAGGTGCGTGTGCAGGACGCAGCTACCAAGCTCTGGGACAGGACAGGCATAGTGGTGGAAGCCCGCCCTCACAGGCAGTATGCCGTCAGGTTGAGTGGCAGTGGCAGGGTGTCCATCCGCAACAGACGCCACCTGCGAAACGGCTCCACACCTGTGCCTACTACTCCGGTGGTGCACCAAGCTGTGCCTCCTGGCCCCCCTTCTGCTGTGCCCTACGTACCCGCGCCCTCCTTCACACCCACGGCCCCTCCCCAGTCGAGCGCGGCCAGGCCCAGGAGAGGCCGTAGGCCTCCGGGCTGGTTGACGGACTACGTGGTGTAGTGTATGTGATGTAAAATCAATTTAGAGGTTTTTTTTTTTCCTTTGTTTGACTGGTTTTTCCTGCATTATTGTTGTTTTTATGAATGCATTGTTTTCCTTTTGTTAGTTCAAATGTGCATTGTCATTTCCTTTTAACTTGGGGGGGGAGATGTAAGATTGTACCATCGTACGATATGTTTTCCCATGTTGAGATGGGGGCTTGTCTTTGGCAGCGCCCGGTTGCCAGTAACCAGCTGACACTGTTAGAATAAAGTCTACAAAGAACGTGGTCTATGACTCCAACCTCTCACAGTTACTTAATGCACAAAGGCAGATCATACCATACAAAAAACTCATTTCAGACAGCAATGACCCTAAATGGATAAATAATTATTTAAATAATATTATTGGACAAAGGAAGGCTATAGGTAGGAGAATAAATCGAGGTGAAGTTTACCTCCGAGATTATTATAAGGTATTGGCCGGTAGGGTTAAGACTGAGATAAGAAAAGCAAAGAGGAATAATGAACTGAAGGTAACAAGTGGGGCGAAGCTTAACCCCAAGGGTTTCTTTCAAATGTATCAAACTAAAACATGAGAAAAGATTGGACCAATACAGTCAGATACCGGCGAGCTAACATCACTAGTGGAGTATCCCAAGGCTCAGACTTGGACCATTATTATTTATTAAATACATAAACGACATAGATATCGGCATAGACAACAACATAGGTAAATTTGCAAATGAGATTAAAATAGGGCGTGTAATGAAATGTGACGAGGACTCCGCAAAACTACAAGAAGATCTAAGCAATTTTTTTGATTGGTCTGAAAAATGTCAGATGAAATTCAATGTGGACAAATGTAAAGTACTTAGTCTAGGAGATGTAAACAGAGAAACCAGATAGCAGATGGACAACGATGTTATTAAGAAATCCGACTGCGAGAAAGATTTAGGAGTAATGATAAGTAGAAATCTTAAGCCAAGTAAACAATGTGTATTTGCTCGAAACAAGGCTAATAAAGTACTTGGGTTCATACAAAGGAGTGTTCGTTACAAGACTAGCGAGGTCATCCTAAAACTAAATCATGCACTTGTGAGACCTCACTTGGATTACGCAGTTCAGTTCTGGTCACCTTACTATAGAATGGATATAGAATCCTTGGAAAGAATTCAGAGGAGAATGACAAGACTAATCCCGGGCATTAGGAACTTTGAGTACAGAGACAGGTTAAAGTATCTTAATTTGCACTGCCTCGAGAGACATAGAGTGAGGGGCGATATGATCGAGGTGCATAAATGCAAGTCAGGGCTAAATAAAAGGGACAATACAAAGGAACTCAAACTATCCAACCAGGAGAGAACTCGCAACAATGGTTTTAAATTAGACAAATTTATATTTAGGCGTGAAATAGGTAAACATTGGTTGAAATAGCGTAGTGGATGAGTGGAACAAGCTACCAAATATCATCATTAACTTGAATACGCTGGATAGCTTCAAACATAGGTTGGATGGATATAAAAGCAATAGGGGTTGGGTGTAAATGGGAGTACCCAATATGGGCCAATAGGCCCACTCCAGTTTCCTCCATTCTTATGTTTTTATGTTCCAGGGGCAGTGGCACCCCCAGGGACCCTCCCAGAGGTGGCGCAGCCCCCAAGGATCCTTGCAGGTGCTGCGGCGCTTGCAGAGTCCTTTCCAGGGGCGGCGATGCCTCAAGAAATCCTGCCAGATATGTTGGCGCCCCAGGGGCTCTCCCACGGGCGGTTGCGGCGGAGGTGCCAGAGACCCCAGGGGCTCTCTCAGGGGCGGTGGCACCCCAAGGGGCGATCCCTGGGGCGGCGGTTCCACCAGGGACACTCCCAGACATGGCAGCACCCCAAAACCCTTCCCAGGGACGGCAGCATTCCCATGGGCCCTGCCAGGGGCGGTGGCCCGCACAGCAAACCTCCCAGGGACCTTATCAAGGGCCCCCAGGGACCCCAATGGTATGCTTGGTCGATGTGTAATATATATTACATACTTCCAGCTGTTCCTTACTTAACTAGGATTGGTGGACTATTATTTTAACCCACCAAATTACAGCCAATAGGAGGAGAGAGCAGTCAGTCAGCACACCACCACAACTTATGTTTTCCTGTTGGATATTATTCTCCATTACGTTGTTCATGATGCGATGATAATGGAAATGTGATGGGCGGTATATTTATTTAACGTTGCATCCCCCAGAGTTCTAAATAGCGCAAAAACTACTGCAGGTCTGGCACTCCCCGAGGCTCTACCAGGGGCAGCGGTGCCTCCAGGGGACTTTCAAGGGGTGGTGGCACCCCCAGTGACCCTGTCAGGGGCGGCAACGCCCCCAGGGACCTTCGCACAGACCCTCCCAGATGCGGCAGTGCCCCCAGGAACCCTCCCAGGGGCGGCTGCATCCCCAGGGACTATCCTAGGGATCCTCCCAAGAGAAGTAGCGCCCCCAGGGACTTTCCCAGGATGGTAGCGCCCCCATGGACCCTTCCAAGGGGGGCGGTGCACCCAGGAACCCTCCTAAGGGTGGTGACACACCCAGTTTTGGCGGAGCCCCCAGCGAGTCTCCCAAGGACGGCGGCGCCCCAGGGAACCTCCAAGGGGCGGTAGTGATCCCAGGGACCCTCCAAGGGACGACGGCGCCCCAGGGACACCACCACCCCCAGGAACCCTACCAGGACAGAAGCGCTCCCAGGGATCCTACCAGGAACAGCTGTGCCCCAGATAACCCCAGGGTCGGGGGAATCCCAGGGACCTTCCCAAGGGCGGCAGCGCCCCTAGGGACCCTCACAGGGACGTCGGTTCCCCTAGAGACCCTCCCAGTAGTGCTGGCGCCCCCAGAGAACATACCAGAGATGGCAGCGTCTACAGCAGTGGTTCTCAACCTTGTTTGCCCCATGCACCCCTTTCACCATATGTCAGAATGTCATTCCCCCCTCCTTTCCAAGATTGTCTGCCTCAAAAAGTGCATTCCAAATAATATGCATATAATACTGAAAATCCTTTATTTTTTCCATATTAGTATCAGTTTCCCCCCCCTGAAAACCTGAGGGGGGAAATTCCCCCCTGGTTGAGAACCCCTGGTCTACAGAGACCCTCCCAGGGGCGGCGATTAACCTAGGGACCATCCCAGGAACCCATCCATGGGTGGCAGAGCCACCAGGGACCCTCCCATGGGTGGTCACGCCTTCAAGGACCCAACCAGGGGTGGCAGCACCCCCAGTGACCCTCCCAGAAGTGGCAGGATTCCCACCGACCTTCCCAGGGATGGCAGCGCCCCTATGGACCGTTCCAGGACCCTTCAGACGGAGGCGGCACACCCAGGGGCGGCGGCAACCCCAGAGACTCTTCCAAGGGCAGCGGCACACCCAGAGACCCTCCCATGGGCGGCTGCACCCCCAGGGACTCTTCCAGGGACCCCCAGGGCCCTTACAAGTGTAGCAGCGCCCGCATGGACCCTCACAAGGGCCCTCTCAATGGCGGTAGCACCCTCAGGGGGTTTCCCAGGTGTGGTGACGCCCCCAGGGCCCATGAAGGGGCAGCGGCGCCCCAAGGGACCCTCCCAGGGGCGTCAGCGCCTCCCGGCGCCCTCTCAGTGGCGGCAACGCCCCCAGGGGCCTCCCAGGAGTGGTGACTCCCCCAGGGGCAGCGGCGCCCCCAGGGAGACTTACCCATGAACGCACCCATAAACCCTCCCAGAGATGGCTGACTCCCCCCAAGGACCTTCCCAGCGGCGGCAGCGCCCCCAGGGACCCATCCAAGGGCGACACCGCACCCAGGGACCCTCTCAGGGGCAGCAGCATCCCCAGCGACACTTCCAAGAGTGGCTGAACACCCAGGGACAGCGGCGCCCCCAGGGATCCTTCCAATGATGGCGGCGCACCCTGAGACCCTCCTAAGGGCAGTGATACACCCAGGGACATTGGTGGCCCAGGGAGACCCCCAGTGGCAGCGGCACCCACAGGGGCAGCAGCGCCCCCAGGGAGTCTCCGAGGGGTGGTGGCACCCCCAGGGACTCTCCGAGGGTACAAACTATTGCTTCTACAGCTCTGTAGCAATGTGAATACACTCCAGTACCTCATAGGTTAGTGTTTCATGCACATGTTAATAATGTGCAATATATTTATTTCCCAAATCAAACCAGTGTAATACTCATATGTCAGGATGTATGGAAACATTTAGTAGAAGAAGGTTATCATATAGCACCAGAATATTGTGAGCTCAGTGGTAATGCAATTACAACCTTGTCTACTCACTATCATCTTGCATTTGTCACAAACATTACTTCTGAACTGGTACCCATACTATTTTTACTGAATACTAATTTCAGCAGCCTTCACTTTGTCTCTAATGAGCTTAAACTTCTGTCTTACATTAATGAAACACAGTTTACTGCATTACAGGACTCTTTTCCTATTTATTTATCCTACCTGGTTTCATCATACCTGCCATTATATTTGTCATTTCCTTGACTGTTATGATATTTTGTTACAGGATAATGTCCTCTAGATACACAATAATTTCCAGGAAAACTCTCCAAAAGGCATTGAAAAAACATGTGCAAGATGCAACAGTTTAGCTAAAGCACACTTTACTGTAACATGATTAGGTATACCTAGGATTTAAACCACGTGAAATCAGTTGGTGGTGGCTGAGAGGTGTAACAGCACCTTTGCTTCACATAAATATTCACCCAAATGAATAACACCAACACAAAGTGAGTCTACATGTTGTTGGCGACAGACAGCTGGGTTTGCAACTCTCTCGAAAGTTGAGCGCAGGTCAGCCTATTAATCAAAACAGCCGGCTAGCTCCCACGCCTCTCTCAACACCGTGAGAGAGCAGTAGACAATTACCACTTGGACGAGGGAGGTCAAACACTTAACTCAAGTGTTATTCACAACACTTCCCCGGAGAGAATTCATAATTTATTCTCTCAGATTATATGTGTGTATATAACTATTATATGTGTGTATATAACTATTATGAGTGTATAAACTATTATGTGTGTATATAACTGCTTCAATAATAGAGAAAACAGCTGTAAGTGTTTACATCAAGCCCTGCCACTTAAAGAGATCCAGAACATAATTAAAACAATATATCAAAACAGCTACCACAACAAGATACATCTGGCAACAGGGTAGGGATCACTGGTGTGGTCACTTAGGTTATGCAATATAATAGTTAAAGAGGACTGCAGCTGGTTCACCTATTGAGCTAAGGTGTTTATGTCTGTTCAGGTGTGTTGAAAGACCTAAGAGAATGAGTGAAGTGCTGTGGCATCTGAGTTGCTGCAAGTCATGGTTCATCGAATCCCACAATCTCTGCTGCTTCAGCGAGGCCATAGAGGTCCTTGGAAGAGTAGATAGGACCCATGGCAAAGGGGCGAGAGCATTATGAAACAGGTGACCAGAAAGAGAAGTTATCCCAGACAAATGTATGTTATGACGGTGAACACTAGATAATAAAGGGTACACTTTAAATAGTGTTTACTGGATGCTGGTCGCAGGTTGGCTGACTCATCACAAAGTGACGTGCCATTGTACATACATCGCTTACCTTGTCCTCTAACACTGGGCAGGCTGGGAGCAACCATTAACTTACCTTGTCTGCCAGGGTCCTCTAACACTGGGCAGGCTGGGAGCAACCATTAACTTACCTTGTCTGCCAGGGTCCTCTAACACTGGGCAGGCTGGGAACAACCATTAACTTACCTTGTCTGCCAGGGTCCTCTAACACTGGGCAGGCTGGGAGCAACCATTAACTTACCTTGTCTGCCAGGGTCCTCTAACACTGGGCAGGCTGGGAGCAACCATTAACTTACCTTGTCTGCCAGGGTCCTCTAACACTGGGCAGGCTGGGAGCATTAACTTACCTTGTCTGCCAGGGTCCTCTAACATTTGGCAGGAGGCTGGGAATTAACTTACCTTGTCTGCCAGGTCCTCTAACACTGGGCAGGCTGGGAGCAACCATTAACTTACCTTGTCTGCGGTGGGGCAGGCTGGGAGCAACCGTCTTGCCTTGTCTGCCAGGGTCCTCTAACACTGGGCAGGCTGGGAGCAACCATTAACTTACCTTGTCTGCCAGGGGTCCTCTAACACTGGGCAGGCTAGGAACAACCATTAACCTTGTCTGCAGACTCTAACACACCATTAACACGCTTGTCTGCCAGGGTCCTCTAACACTGGGCAGGCTGGGAACAACCATTAACTTACCTTGTCTGCCAGGGTCCTCTAACACTGGGCAGGCTGGGAACAACCATTAACTTACCTTGTCTGCCAGGGTCCTCTAACACTGGGCAGGCTGGGAACAACCATTAACTTACCTTGTCTGCCAGGGTCCTCTAACACTGGGCAGGCTGGGAGCAACCATTAACTTACCTTGTCTGCCAGGGTCCTCTAACACTGGGCAGGCTGGGAGCAACCATTAACTTACCTTGTCTGCCAGGGTCCCCTAACACTGGGCAGGCTGGGAGCAACCATTAACTTACCTTGTCTGCCAGGGTCCTCTAACACTGGGCAGGCTGGGAAGTTAGCAATAATTTAGTTTTATAAGTCACACAAATCATTCTTTGATGCACCCTGGATCAAAATGTATTTGTGATATTGTACAATGAAAGGGTTTAAAATTATGCAATACATGAAAAATGATTTATTGACTGTATTCAACAATATATTTACATATTGACATTGTTCAGCTTCAGAATTCCACACAAACAGCAGGACATCCATGAGCCATTATGACTCCTGACGAAACACATCAAACATGAGAATGCTTGGGTTACTTATATTATACAAATATTTTCAGATAAAATACATAATTCACGAGGATAGGACAGGCATAATACTCAATATCCAACATGATACACTCGTGGTAAGGTGGGAGAGTTCAGGTGTGGCTGAGGGAGAAAAGTGTAGTAGATAAAACATTTGTCTTAACATTTACCCGACAGCTTGTGGTAATCTGTTTAAACTAAGACTCATCCTCCTACCTGTGCTATGCTCTAAAATCTCTAATACACAAGCTGGCCAAAAAATGTTAACCTGGAAGAATATGTTCTTACAATACCAGACTCCTCACACCACCAAGCCACTCACTGACCGACATTCACAGGGATATGGGCAGTATTGCGTATGCCCTTACTTAATCGCACAGGGTCTATAGACAATGCCATGTATATTACTGTATTTAATATGCCTAAAATGCCTTAAAATTCTAAGTAGGATTTATAAAAGGGAAATTATTATAAATTACATTAAAAACACAGACAACAACTTAATTTTATGGAAGAAAACAATAAGGTTAAAAACTAATATTTTAATTGCTTTGGCATGCTTGTCCATTAACATCTGGGAAACAAAATGCAAAAGCAAGAAAAAGATACATAATAATAATAATAATACAGGTTTACTAAAAGCTTTGAAAATACATATTTAAAGATTTAACTTGAAATATTTATGTCCAGTAACTGATGAAAGAATTTATATATTCATAAAGTTTTACTTAAGTAAAATATAAGACTGTCTATACACCTTACTCAATAATACATAACCAGGGCATTTCATGGGTGCTAATAGTAGTGTTATATTCAAATTATTTGTATCAATCAAGGCTTTAAAATATCCTTTTATTATAAGGTAAATAGACCCCAAAATTACTGCAAAGTCAATAACTGGACACACACTACTCTGTTGAGGTAACACAATTATTACTCCAGTGCAATATGCACTATTGAATGGGTGACCATTAAAAGAAACAGGATGGGAAGTCACAGTCATGAACAATGCATCTGATACAGTATTTGAGCTGAAGATACTTAATAGTTCTTTCTATATAATAAAATGTTTACATAAGAGAATGAGCCACCAAGGAGTATGGTAATGGTCTTTAAACCTTTAGTGTGAAAATAGATCCATTGTTGATAGAAATTTTAAATACACCTCATAACTAAGATTCAACTTACATAAACTGGGCCATCTTTCTCTCTATTAAAGTCTCTCAATCACATTTTTACAATGGATAGAGTGCTACTGAATGGTAGTACCATGTTCATAACAGTCAGTCTTACAAGTGATGGAAGAACGTTTTTAGGCCACTCAATTCATAAATTGGAAAGTTGGACCAGTTCAATGTAAACACTAGAAATCACATTTCCTTTCGGACAAAGAATTGCACTTCAGCCACAAAATGTTTAAATCCAATCCCTGACTTGGAAAGCTGATTTCCTTGCACAAGGCACTTGGCTTGTCTGTTCCTGCCAGCCATGAAAAGTGAAACTTTACCCATGTAGACAACGAGCAACCACATACATGATGGCTTGTCTCATAAATGCATTACGTTATCTAACTCTTTTTGACCTTCGGCGCCACGTCAACATTTCCGACCCACTGTCACATTTTCTGGTTCTAAATAGACAATCTTTTATCCACGTTTTGACACAACCATCAATACATGAAAACTTTTCATTTCAAATAGAAATAAATTAATTTAATACAATTCAAGCTATTTGATACACAAACATCTACATACATTCTTACATGCACACACTTTTGTATCCACAAACATACATATTTGCACTTACTCACTTTAGGATACATGCATAAACACACACACACACACACAAACACAAATGTATGTGTATATATGCATTTAAGCATATATACACATAAATATTACATATATACAGGTAATTTACAAACATTCAATCACATGAAAACACAAATATAAAAAAATATTTAAAGATCAAATTACACACTATATCAAGTCTTAATTCCACACACCACTATTAACTATATACTTTGGCGAGATAATTGAGGTTATCTTTTCATTTCGTCAAGTAAACAAAGCAATAACTATGACCCATAAGTTCATCGTACGAAACAGGTCACAAGAGTTTGGTAATGCTGCGTATTCAAGTGTCAAGGCACAGATATTATACGACAAACCCATTAAATTTCTGTTTCCATTTTGTCTTTTGTTGCTAAAAATTGAGGTCCACTTGGGACGTTGTACTTTCTGTCGGGACTCCTTAATTCATCCATTTTCTACAGTTCTCTGCACCACACAGACAGGGAATTTTGTGATCCTCCTCTTCATCAAACTTGTAATCATAAGCCAGCTGTAAAAACACAAAAATAGTTAGTTTGTCCATTGTAGTAATGATGCCTTAGAACAGAGGTGGCCAAAATGTCAATTGTGATCTACCAGTAGATTGCAAAGCAATTTCTGGTACAATTTCTGTAGATCGCAGGATGGGCAGTAGTGGCGCAGCCCATGAACAGGGATCCTACAGGTACGTACAGTACACGGCACCACTGTCCGTTATGACTAGTAGGAACATTCACAACTTGTTTTGTCTTTACATCTAACAGTCATTTAGCAAGGAAAGACACATTTAAATAATTTTGGGAATATTTATTTAATAATGTCACAGAAAATGTCACAGTTAACATAAAATCCGCCAACCAATACCTACGGTCCAGACTACACAGGCTCGCTGATGCCATGCAGTGCAAATCATCACACCAATATATGTAAGTTCTTCCCTCTACCATTCTTAGATCTAGGATGATGCAATGAAAAAAAAATCTCTCTCTCTCTCTCTCTCTCTCTCTCTCTCTCTCTCTCTCTCTCTCTCTCTCTCTCTCTCTCTCTCTCTCTCTCTCTCTCTCTCTCTCTCTCTCTCTCTCTCTCTCTCTCTCTCTCTCTCTCTCTCTCTCTCTCTCTCTCTCTCTCTCTCTCTCTCTCTCTCTCTCTCTCTCTCTCTCTCTCTCTCTCTCTCTCTCTCTCTCTCTCTCTCTCTCTCTCTCTCTCTCTCTCTCTCTCTCTCTCTCTCTCTCTCTCTCTCTCTCTCTCTCTCTCTCTCTCTCTCTCTCTCTCTCTCTCTCTCTCTCTCTCTCTCTCTCTCTCTCTCTCTCTCTCTCTCTCTCTCTCTCTCTCTCTCTCTCTCTCTCTCTCTCTCTCTCTCTCTCTCTCTCTCTCTCTCTCTCTCTCTCTCTCTCTCTCTCTCTCTCTCTCTCTCTCTCTCTCTCTCTCTCTCTCTCTCTCTCTCTCTCTCTCTCTCTCTCTCTCTCTCTCTCTCTCTCTCTCTCTCTCTCTCTCTCTCTCTCTCTCTCTCTCTCTCTCTCTCTCTCTCTCTCTCTCTCTCTCTCTCTCTCTCTCTCTCTCTCTCTCTCTCTCTCTCTCTCTCTCTCTCTCTCTCTCTCTCTCTCTCTCTCTCTCTCTCTCTCTCTCTCTCTCTCTCTCTCTCTCTCTCTCTCTCTCTCTCTCTCTCTCTCTCTCTCTCTCTCTCTCTCTCTCTCTCTCTCTCTCTCTCTCTCTCTCTCTCTCTCTCTCTCTCTCTCTCTCTCTCTCTCTCTCTCTCTCTCTCTCTCTCTCTCTCTCTCTCTCTCTCTCTCTCTCTCTCTCTCTCTCTCTCTCTCTCTCTCTCTCTCTCTCTCTCTCTCTCTCTCTCTCTCTCTCTCTCTCTCTCTCTCTCTCTCTCTCTCTCTCTCTCTCTCTCTCTCTCTCTCTCTCTCTCTCTCTCTCTCTCTCTCTCTCTCTCTCTCTCTCTCTCTCTCTCTCTCTCTCTCTTTCTCTCTCTCTCTCTCTCTCTCTCTCTCTCTCTCTCTCTCTCTCTCTCTCTCTCTCTCTCTCTCTCTCTCTCTCTCTCTCTCTCTTTCTCCACATCACTTGACTCAAAATCTATTTGATATCTGCTTTTAGGTACAGAAAGAAAAACTTGAGCAGTACATCATGTTTGAGAAAACCATGGAAACACTAGATCCAGCCACAGTAAAATCTGGTCACCCCCGCCTTACAAATAAAAAATGCTTGCAAGAATAAAATTTAAGGATTTATTCTGAAGACCAATGAACAGCCTCTACTGCCCCGTTTCCCAACCCTGGGGTCGCGGCCCCAAATAAGTCACTTAAGCATTTCTTGGGGTCCTTGGCAGTTCTGCAGCTTCATGGGAAAATTCCCACAAATCTGTAAGAGGAAATAGGCGTATGTGGGAGGAGGTGATGAATAAATTTGATGGATTTCGATATAAATCTGTGGGATTTCGTGGGAGAAATTAGCCAAGGTGCATGAGGAATTTTCGTTCTTAGAAGTGACAACACCGTCATAAACCCTACGTGTATCATACAGGTTCAGTTCGAATCCTGACATGTTGCCAGCATATATTTATATGTTACTACTAAAACAAGTATTTGCTGGATTCTCAGGTACATAAAACACTTATCTAATATTGGTTGAATGATTTGGAGATATTGTTAAATACTGCTGATAGATGGCGAATTTTTACTTGCGTATTATTTCATAAATATAATGCAGTGACCGCCAACCCTGAATCACACTGTTCCCTCAGCCAGTCAACCACTCAAGCTGTGGTCGAATGGAAAGTAACTTGTTCATCTTCTGATGGTAAGTTAATGTATTTTTACCAGTATATTAAATGGAGAATGTGCAGTATATAGGTACCTCAGTGCTTCCTTCCTTAAATGAACATGAAGTGTAGCATCTGCAGAAACAGTGAGGGAGGTGTTGAGAGGGAAGGGTGTGGGGTGAAGGAAGGGTGTGGGGTGAAGGAAGGGTGTGGGGTGAAGGGAAGGGTGTGGGGAGTGAAGGGAAGGGGGTGGGGTGAAGGGAAGGAGGTGTGGGGTGAAGGGAAGGGTGTGTGGGGTGAAGGGGAAGGGTGTGGGGAAGGGAAGGGTGTGGGAGTGAAGGAAGGGTGTGGGAGGTGAAGAAGGGAAGGGTGTGGGAATTGAAAGGGAAAGGGTGTGGGATGAAGGGAAGGGGGGTGGGGTGAAGGAAGGGTGTGGGAATTGAAAGGGAAGGTGTGTGGGGTGAAGGGAAGGGTGTGGGGTGAAGGGAAGGGTGTGGGAGGTGAAGGGAAGAGGGGGTGGGAGTGAAGGAAGGGTGTGGGAGTGAAAGAGGAAGGGTGTGGGAGTGAAAGGAAGGGTGTGGGAGTGAAGGAAAGGAGTGTGGGGAAGGGAAAAGGGTGCCATGTAGGGTGTGAAAGGAAGGGTGTGGGGTGAAGGGAAGGGTGTGTGGGATGAAGAAGGGGAAGGGGTGGAGTGAAAGGGAAGGGTGTGGGGAGTGAAGGAAGGAGTGTGGGAGTGAGAAGGAAGAGGTGTAGAGGGAAAGGGAAAGTGTGGGATGAAGGGAAGGGTGTAGAGGTGAAGGAAGGAGTGTGGGAGTGAAGGAAGGGTGTGTAGAGGTGAAGGAAGGGTGTGGGAGTGAAAGAAAGGAAAGAGGTGTGGGAGTGAAGAGAGGGAAAGTGTGGGAGTGAAGGAAGGGTGTAGAAGTGTGAAGAGGAAGGGTGTAGAGGAGGAGAAGGGATGGAAGGGGTGGGGTGAAGAGGGAAGGGGGGGTGGGAGTGAGGGAAGGGTGTGGGGGTGAAGGGAAGGGTGTGGGGTGAGAAAGGGAAGGGTGTGGGGTGTGGGGTGAAGGGAAGGTGGGTGAAGGAAGGGTGGGGTGAAGGGAAGTGAAGGAAGCATGGAAGGTGGGGTGAAGGGGGTGGGGTGAAGGGAAGGGTGGGGTGAAGGAAGGGTGTGGGGGTCTGAAGAAGGGGTGGGGTGAAGGGAAGGTGGGGTATGAAGGAAGGTGAGGGGGGTCCGAAGGATGGTGGGGTGAAGGAAGAGTGTGGGTCCAAGGAAGGGTGTTGGTCCGAAGGGAATGGGGCCAATGAAGGGTGGGTGATGAGAGGTGGGTGAAGGGAATAAAGAAGGAAGGTGGCGGTGGCGGAAGGGTAAGAAGGAAGGTGGTGTGAAGGAAGGAAGATGAATAATGATTAATAAGGGTGAAGGAATGACGTGGTGAGATGGAATAAGTTGAAGATGAAGGGTGGGTGAAGGAAGGGTGTGGTGAATGAAATGGGTGAAGGAAGGTAAGAAATGGAAGTGTGAAAAGTGGGTGAAGGGAAGGGTGAAGTGAATATGGGTGAATAATAATGGATGGAAGTGGGGTAATGAAGACGAAGAATAATGGGTGAAGTAAAGTGGGTGGAGGCACGGTAATGGTGGGGGTGAAGAATAAAAAGTGTAATGGAATAAGATATGAAGTGGACGGAATGGCAAGAACGAATAAAGTATTGAAGGAAGGAACAAGAAGTGAATGAATGGCGACGGCGAAGGGAAAGGTAAGTACGGAATGAATGGGGCAATGAAGGCAAGGATTTAACAAGTGGGGAATGAATGACGGAATAAGTAAGAATGAATGGTAAGAATGAATGGCAAGACGAATGGCATAAGAATGGAAAAATGAATGGTGTAAGAATGGTGACTAATGAAAGGAAAATCAAGTAATGGAATATGGCATAATGGAAAGAAAGAAGGCAAGTAATGGCAAGTAATGCAATGGCCGAAGGAATGAAGTGGGTGAAGGGAAGGGGTGGGGTGAAGGGGAAGGTGGGTGAAGGGAAGGGTGTGGGGTGAAGGGATGGGTGGGGTGAAGGGAAGGGTGTGGGGTGAAGGGAAGGGTGGGGAAGGGAAGGGTGAAGGGGTGGGTGAAGGAAGGGGTGGGTGAAGGGAAGGGTGGGGTGAAGGGAAGGGTGAAGGGAAGGGTGGGGTGAAGGGAAGGTGGGGGGAAGGGAAGGGTGGGGTGAAGGAAAGGTGGGAATCTGAAGGAAGGGGTGGGGTGAAGGAAGGGTGGGGCTGAAGGAAGGGGAGGGGTCTGAAGGGTGAAGGAAGGGTGGGTGAAGGAAAGGGTGTGGGGAAGGAAGGGGTGAAGAAGTGTGGGGTGAAGGAAGGTGGGTGAAGGAAGGGGGGGTGAAGGAATGAAGGATGAAGGTGGGTGAAGGAAGGGATGGGGTGAAGGGAAGGGGTGTGGGGTGAAGGGAAGGTGTGGGGAAGGAAAAAAAACCAAAAAAAAAAACAAAACAAAAAAAAAAAAAAACAAAACAAAACAAAAAAACAACAAAAAAAAAAAAAAACAAAAAAACAAAAAAAACAAAAAAAAAAAAAAAAAACAAAACACAAAAAAACAAAAAAAAAAAACAAAAAAAAAAAAAACAAAAAAAAAAAAAAACAAAAAGAATGAGGGTGGTGAATGAAGGTGGAAGAAGAAATGAAGGAAGAATGTGTGGGTGAAGGAAGGGTGTGGGGTGAAAAAAGGAAGGGTGGAGGAAGGAAGGTGGGTGAATGAAGGTGTGGGGTGAAGGGAAGGTGTGTGGGGTGAAGGGAAGGTGTGGGTGAAGGGAAGGGTGTGGGGTGAAGGGAAGGGTGTGGGGTGAAGGGAAGGGGATTGGGGTGATAGGAAGGGAGGGGGGTAAGAGAAGGGAAGGGGGTGGGGTGGTAGGAAGAAGGTGGCGGTAAAGGGAAAGGGGTGGAAGGTGAAGGGAAGGGGTGGGGTGTGAAGGGAAAGGGGTAGACGACGAAGTAGTGTACCACAGCATGTCAGTGATATTTGTTGGTAGTTGTACCAACAATACAGTGCAAAGATTGACGATTAACCCCAGAAGTGATATACAAAAGTGGCAATTTCAACTCGAAGGAAAAGCACAATAACACAGCAATACTGAGTGTGGCTGGATCTGACCTGACCTCACGGCTTCACCTGACCTAACCTGAAGGATGGAGCACACCTGCATTGCCCCAAGCTACTGTCCTGGCCACTTGGCCACACACCTGCCCAACTGCATCCAGCCCATACGATCACGAACTGACTGCTACAAGAACAGCGCAGTCTCAACCTTTGTAAAAATCATCAACACCTAATTATTATATATCATATTTGTATCACTTATGTTACTTGTACATCATTTGTAAATCAAGAGAACCATTCTCCAATTATGTATTTGTATATTTTCAGCCTTCTGACTGCCATGCTCTTTCAATAAACCGTTAATTATTATTATTATGTGGCGAAGTGCTCAGCCACGAGTCGCTCAAAGAAAACAAACTTAGGCGCCATCTCCAGGGAAAACATCCAACGCTGGCAGAGAAAGGCCGCCAGTATTTTAAGAGGAAAGAAGAACGACTGAAGCGTCAGAGGTTAGACACCCCTATGAACACAACAGTGTTTTCTGTTCGGCAAGCAACAATTGCATCCTATCTGGTTGCAAAAAGAATTGCCAAGTGTAAACAGCCACACACAATTAGGGAAAATTTGGTGAAGCCAGCAGTCCTTGATATGGTTCGCACTGTTATCGGAGATGATGCAGTGAAAAAGATTGAAACTATTCCACTGTCAAACAACACAGTTAGCCGATGGATTCAAGAAATGTCGGCAGACATCAAAGAACAAGTAGTGGCTGCCATCAAGGAGAGCGGAAAATTCAGCTTGCAGTTGGATGAGTCAACTGACGTCAGTGACGATGCACAGCTCTTGGTATATGCGCGGTACCAAGGGAAGAGCGACATGGAAGAGAACTTCCTGTTCTGTAAACGACTGGAGATGACAACAACAGGTGAGGATCTGTTCAAGTTGGTCAACAGCTTCGTCAAGGAAGAAAACCTAAGCTCAGACGGAGCACCGGCAATGCTAGGGGCACGTCAGGGTTTCACTGTTAGGGTAAAACAAGTCAACCCCGCAGTGATAGTGGTTCAATATCTGCTCCACCGGGAAAACCTTGCCTACCGGAAACTGTCACATGGGCTTACCTCTGTGATGGAAGATGTGATTCAAATAGTAAACTTTATTAAATCATCAGCTCTGAATTCAAGGCTGTTCAACCAGATGTGCTCTGATATGGAGTCGGAGTATGAACACCTGCTTTACTACTCTGCCGTCAGGTGGCCGTCTCGAGGGAAAGTGCTCCAGAGAGTGTTTGAAGTGCGTACACGGGTCGAAATCTTCTTGAACGAGAAGAAACACATACTGGCATCAAGGCTTTCGGAACCAAGGTGGTTGCTTCAGCTGGCATATCTGGCAAATATATTCTCTGAGTTGAATTTGCTGAACATGTCCATACAAGGAAGGGATGAAAGGGGATCAAAGATTTTGTAGGTAAAATTTTTTTATCCCACCTTCCAACTCTTCCCAGCCCCATGAACCTAACCTAACCTAATATCCTGATAGAATTAAACACTGAACATCTTGTTATCTCAGAAATCCGCTGGTAAAGATTTCTCAACACTGAGTATCTCAACACATTGCATCCCAAACCTGTGACAAGGAATCACTCATCAAAACAGATCTGGATCATACATATACAGCATTGACATTTTGGGTTCATAGTCCACTGCATCTACTGTAAGTTGTACCACTCACTAGTTTGTAAAATTCACATTTTCACCAAAGTGCTAGTCCTGAAGCTATGCAAATTAGATTAGTTCTCCTGTGTTAATAATTTTGTTAAATAACATTATGTTCAAGTAAATATTATTGATTCAATATTACCAGGGTATATACAGTGATGCCATACACACATGCACCCAAGATGATCTAACTAAACACAGTACTTTCATGTCTTTTGTACCCAACAAATATATTAATTTGTAAATAACTATTTCTCTTTGATCGACTGTGCTGGAGGGAATTATAACATGAGTGACAACCATAGCAGGAACTTAGTAACTCACCGGTGTAAGAGTAACTCTCAGTCACTCAAAGAATACAGTGAGACAGGCACAAACTATTCTTTTGGTTCCACACATGTATCATCATTATCCTCAATGCTTTACAGCCATTATACTTCATGCTTGTGTAGGTTAGCTGCAGTTCCCTATGGGCAGTTCTCCACGCTGCACAGTCTCCAGCATCCTTGGCCTACCACTACCTCACCACCTCTTGACCCCCATCTCCTCCACTCTCTCCACATACCCAAACCATCTCAACCTGCCTGTATGCAAGACTTCACCATTAGCTCTGAACATGGTTTCTTATCTTTCCATGTCACATCTGCCTCACCATTCTAATTTCAGCTCGCTCAAGCCTGCATATGTCAACCTCTTGCCTATGTTACACTGCCATACAATATCACACCCAGTTGATATACTCTTATTTTCATACAGATGTAAGATTTCCTGCCATCAATAAAGGCAGCAACTCCCTGAACTTCCTCCAGTCACTTCTGATGCCAGCAGCTGATAAGACTTCAGCACCCCCTCCATCACTGATCATGTCATCCATATAACAGAATTTACTGAACCAGTCCAGATATATCACCAATATTTTCTCCAGCCTTGCTAATGCCACATGGTTACCTGCACATCTAGAACAATTAAAATTAGCAGCATCCTGCAGTCTGTCATTTACACCGCTGTACCTCTTGTGTGTCCACCTTCCACACTCAAATGTAAATGGCTGGATAAATGTACTTATAGATAAAGTCAAATCTAACAGAGACGACTGTGTCTAAAATGGTTGGAGAATTGTGACATGAGAAGCACAGTAACAAAGTTCTAATGTACAAAAAAGTCCTTGATTTGTGAAGTCACCAAGTGTATAATTTATATGCTGTACTGTGATGAACCTATCAAGAACATAATACTCAATGGTGTGTTGCTATTTGCTACACCTTGAATGATGAAGATGGGAGTTATGGACAAAGAGTATTGAACTATGAACAGCAACAGTGATATAAATTCCCGGGGAAATTTTTCAGTCACACAAATGATATCGAAGAAAATATATAACTATTTCTGCCTATAATGTCTTTACTATAATATAACAAGAGGCAGAACTGCAGGTATAAGAGATAATGAATATTCCTGATGGCTGTACATGAGCCACAAGACACAGGTGGCTCTCAATGTGGGCAACAAAGGCCAGTTACCAGCCTCACTACATCATAATAAAGCTACAGTACAGTACAGGTAAATGAAGCAAAGGACAATGAGTAGCTGTCACCTTCCAGCCCAGTGTTGTCAATCCAAATGGGATAACATTGCTAGACTTTGAAATTGCCAGAAAATCCCCAAATCCCTAACAATCTCTTACAGAAGATCATGAAAGGGATGACTTTAAGAAACTAAGCTTAAACTGTCATCAGCAAACTAAAAAGTCTCCAGATCTGGTGATAAAATTACCACACTGGCACCAGTGGTTCCCATCCCTGACTGACTGTAGGAAGCATATCCCATTACAGGTCCACCACCGATTTTCCGGCACTCTTGGTTCAAAAGTCGTGCCGGATTATCCGTTTTGCCGGACCAACCGAGGTCGGGTAATAACAATACAGTACGCCTCTGACCCACTAATTACACACCCCAGTGTCTCTAACTCACCGTGGACTGCTAGAAACTTAAACAAATGTCAAAAGTAAATTAAATCTGAAAAAGTCATAATTATGAGCAACACATTACTGTACACACTTTGTACTCAAATGTACTACACTAAAGGACTACAAAAATTTATCTCTTGTGGACTACAAAAATTTATCTCTTGTGCAAACTACTGTATATGATGTTTATATTCAAATTAATCACTATATTACAAGGATTCCAGCAATGTACTTTACATTCTGCTAAGTCTAGTCAGCTATATTTTATAAGATAAAAACTTTAAGCCTAAGACTACCTTCACCCTGGCTGGGAGGGAAGTTAAGTGCCCTCTCATAATTTTGTCCAGACTAAAGAAGGTGCTGGACCATCAGTTCTCGGAAAATCGGTGGTGTACCTGTACTTAATAAAAATTTTGGGTTTGATGAAAACATTTCAGAAATTTGACAAATATTTTGAGACACATTTTTAAGACGAAAAAAAAATTAAATTGAACGACAAAATACTGAGCAAAAAAATGGTGCTGCCACCACCTCCATGCTCTGACGGCCTGCCGCCTCATTCCCCTGAATAAGAATCCAGGATGTAGGCCTATAGGGGTGGGGAAAGTGCTGAGGCAGATCATCAGAAAATGCATAATGGAGGTGGTAAAGGATGATGTCAGGGCAGCAGCAGGAAACCTGCACGTTTGTGCTGGCCAACAAGCTGGAGGGTAAGCTGTCATTCATTCCATGAGAACGATATTTGAGCGGCGGGATTGTGAGGTCGTTCTCCTGGTTGACGCTTCCACACTGCACAACATCAAGATCAAGTGTCCAAGCTTTGCAAAGTATGTTGAAAATACCTATAGGAATCCATCAGACCTCTATATAGTAAACATCAAGACTCTAAGAGGTGATACCATCATACAGTCAACCAAGGGAACAACGCAGGGGAACCCTGTTGCAATGGCAATGTATGCAATGGGCCTATCAGTGCTCCAACACACAATAAAATTTGAAACAACTGAGGTCAAACAAGTGGCATATGCTGATGACCTTACAGGAGCAGGAAAAGTGGAGGGCATCAAAAAGTGGTGGGACCTGATAACATCATATGGTCCACAAATAGGGTACCACCCCAATGCCAGCAAGTCCTTCCTCATTGTGAAGCCAGAACATTATGAATGGGCAATGGAGGAGTTCAGTGGAAGTGAGGTCAAAATAAAAAAGGATGGCCAAAGACACCTAGGCGCAGTAGTCGGCACTACGGACTTCAAGACCGAGTACGTAGCGGGAAAGGTGAATGAGTGGGTTAGTGAAATCCAAGCTCTGTCTGATATTGCTAACACAGAGCCACATGCGGCATTCACCCATGGAGTCAAGCATCGCTGGAACTACCTGATGCGCAATATCCCTGATATCGGACCCCTCCTCCACCCACTGGAAGAAGCTATCAGCGTCAATTTCATTCCCAAATTAGTGAAACATCTTCACTTAACCCCAGCAGAAAGATCACTCCTTGCACTACCACCAAAAATGGGAGGAATGGGATTGACCAATCCAGAGGAGATTATTGCCACCGAACATCAAAACTCAGTTAAGCTCACGGCAGTCCTCACGGACCACATAATAGCTCAAAACGCAACAGGGGAGGTGGATACCAGTGAAGTAAACAAGATTCGATGGTCCATTACGACCGAACAACAGCACGGCCAAAGTGATAAGTTGCAGCAAATGATGCTGCAAGTACCAGAGAATTTGAAGAAAAAAAAGTAGCTGTAGTGCAGGAAGTGGGCGCCTCGAACTGGTTAACTACGTTACCGATAAGGGCAAATGGTTTCAGTCTCAATAAACAAGAATTTACAGATGCCATTGCTCTAAGGTACGATAGGCCAGTAGAAGGTTTGCCCTCCCAATGCGTGTGTGGCTCTTCCTAATAATAATAATAATAATAATAATAATAATAATAATAATAATAATAATAATAATAATAATAATAATAATAATAATAATAATAATAATAATAATAATAAACGGTTTATTGAAAGAGCATGGCAGCCAGAAGGCTGAAAATATACAGTTACATAAATGGGGAACGGGTCTCTTGATTTACAAATGATATACAAGTAACATAAGTGATACAAATATGATATATAATAACTAGGTGGGGGGAAGCTCAAACTACAGGTCATTTCAACATAGTGACAGTGCGAAAAGTATGATTGACTGGGAGTGAATACATTGGTTGATTTGAAGTTATTGATAATTTTTACAATGGTTGGGACTGGGCTGTTCTTATAGCGATCATTTTGTGCTCGTATGGACTGGATGCGGTTGTGGTGTTGAACAGCAATTCTCGGACGTCGATCACGCCATGGTGTGCAACGTAAACACCTAGAAAAAGTGCAAAAGAGGGCATGCAAGATTATTCTCTCCCCTTCCTACTCCACATATCAAGAAGCGCTCAACACACTGACCCTTTCGACTCTCACTGACCATCACCACGACCTCATCTGCAAATTTGGTAAGAAGCTTTTACACCATCCCCGACACCGGCTCCTACTACCACCTGAGATCCCTCGCCCGAGAATTGCTGTTCGACACCACAACCGCATACAGCCCATACGTGCACGAACTGATCGCTATAAGAACAGCCCAGTCCCAACCATTGTAAAAATTATCAATAACTTGTAATAAACCAGTGTATTCACTCCCAGTGAATACTACTTCTTGCACTGTCACTATGTTGAAATGCACTGTAGTTTGAGTGTTTCTCCATCTAGTTATTATATATCTTATTTGTATCACTTATGTTACTTGTATATTATTTGTAATTCGAAACCCATTCCCCAAATATGTAACTGTATATTTTCAGCCTTCTGGCTGCCAAGCTCTTTCAATAAACCGTTAATTATTATTATTAAGAAGGGGGGCTTCATATGCATGAGGCATGATGAAGTAAGGGATCTCACAGCAAATATGTTGAAGGAAATCTGTCATGATGTCAGGGTAGAACCGACCCTCCTTCCATTAGACGGTGAGAATTTCCAACATAAGACTTCAAACACATCCAACGAAGCCCGTGTTGACGTCAGTGCTCGAGGATTCTAGATGCGGAGACAGCGAGCCTTCTTCGACATCAGGATATTTTATCCCATGGCTGCATTTCACCGCAACCTAGCTCTCGATGCTGCACACAGAAGGAACGAGAACAACAAGATAAGGGCATATGGGGAGGCAATTCAGAATGTTGACCAAGAAAGCTTCACTCCTCTGGTGTTCATAACTTCCGGTGGGATGGGACCAAGTGCAAGATGCTTCTACGCCCAACTCGCGGAGGTGCTATCCGAACAGAAGCAGCAGCCCAGAAGTTATGTTACAACCTGGATGAGATGTCGACTGTCTTTCTCTCTCCTTAGGTCTGCTTTGCTCTGCCTCAGGGGAGCGAGAGCATCGGCCCCAAAGCCGACAATAGTTGCAGATATTGACTATGAGGCAACAGTCACTGAATACCGCATAGATCTGCGGCTCAACTGAACTCAACACAGCTAGGGTAGCTACTTATGTTTTAGGATAGTTAATTTTAAGGTAATAAAATGCTGGCGAAGGTGTGGCTATTGGGGGAGGCTGGAGGCCACGTAAAAAAAAAGTAGTAGTAGTGTGTGTGCGTGTGAGTTTCTCTCTCCCATTTTCTATGACACTTATTGCTTCTGATCTACAGTATTACAACAGAAGGCTATTAAAGGAGACTGAACCTTTAGAGTGTGTCACAAATCATAACAAGGATGGCAATTTGGGTGAGGTAAAAGTAAAGTTTAATAGCAGGAAATTATCAGAGAGGAGTTTTTCTTATAGTCACAGGCTTCCCCCATCACTGTAGTGCGAGTGACTGATAAAACCTTACATACAATCTCACACCAATAATCAAAACAAAAGTTAAAATAAGTTAGAATACAACAGAAACAAAATCAAAACACGTACCTCCTCTCCTCGAAGAATTTTGCGATTGGAAATAATGAGAATCTTGAGGTCCCTCTCAACTTCTATAGTCTCGGTGTAACAGTTAGGACCACAGGAGTGGTTGACATAGCGAGCTAGACCGCCCGTTACTGTTGCATCCACAACCCGCTGGTCATCAAGACGAAACATGTAGATGCCACGATTTTGAGCCTCATAACGCTTTTCACGTACCTGGCATAAAAGGTGTTTGAGTGTAGATGACCTGTTAATAACTATAAACATCATATCATTCACAATTCACCCAAACTTCACTTGTCTGAAAGCAATTTTTAATTTCCTTTAATCACACATGTTTTAGATAAGCTACTGTGTTCTATAAAAGGACACCAAGTATTATTCACCGACCAACTGACTATTGTTTTGGCCATTAAGTACAAGAGTCAAGTATTTGCTCTGCATTTACTATTATGATTTTAGATGCAACGATAGATTAGGACAAATTGAGGGACATAATTCTTCTACTAATGAAAAGTAACAGGAGTACTGGAGAGCACCTACAGAACAACCCCAATTACCGACCACTTTGTTATGTTAGCACTGAACAGTAAAATACCCAGACATTATTAGCAAATGAAAAACTTAGGTATACAACAACATACAATATTAAAAAAACAAAGAAACTTCTCAATAATCTTCACACAAACAAATATAAGAAAAGACTTTATCTCTCACTCACAACCTTAAACAGTTCTTCTGGTTAACAACTACAGTACTGTATGCACGTCATGCTTGTGGGGGTCGGGATCCACTAACTCACTATTAACGTATCCTGTACACAACATCACAATGTTAAGCTCATAATCAACGTTTATATATGGTTATCCATTTGACCAAGCGACTATAATTACTTTCTATGTAAGCACCTAACCATCATTCACTCAACATACAGAACAAAACAGTATACTGAAAAATTACTTTCTACCCCCCCCCCTGCCAAATAGACAAGAATATCTATAGACAGATGACAAGCCCACAGTATATTTGGGGAATCTCTTATGAAATTGTTGGAAAGTAACTAAGTACTGTACAAGTTGCACTAAAAAAATCTGGACACGAGTTATACTAAGACTTTGAAAATTAAAAAAAAAAAAAACCAGACACAAGAGGTAAATAAAGTTTTCTACAGTGCTTGTGTATTTGTGGTATTATATTTTTCTCACTAAAGTCCAACTGGAGCACTTTACCACACCTGTCATTCCCTCTGGAGTCAGCAGCCTAAACAAACCTACACTTACAAATCCTTGACCGTAGGTACAGCCCCCAAAAAGTATCGTTAGCCATGGGGGTCGATGTGATTTGAGGCTTTCCGATCAATTTTTACTTGTTTCCGAATGGTTGGTAGTTCTATATCCGTGACCTTTGAGCACGAATGATTAAAGTACAGTTAATATGTTTTCGAACATTACACACATTAATATAGCTTAATGGATTTCTTGTTTTATTGAAGTACAGTGAGTTCTGCTATAACGCGTGTTTTGATAACGCGAATTTGCTCTAACGCGATTTATGAATTAGGAACGATATTTGTATAACGCGAACGCTTGTTTGCTATAACGCGATTTTTGCTTACTATTTCTCCAATTTTGTGGTATTAACTGTGAATATGGTAAAGAAGAATATCTCCAAGAAGCGTTCTGGTGATAGAATTCCCGGTGATGATCGTAAAAGAAAGGATATAACACTTGAAGAGAAGCTCGATGTTATCAACCTCAAAATCACCCTTCTCCCCCATCAAGTTACATTCATATTTTTTCAAGGTAAAGTATTACATTTACTGTATGATTTCATTATTAGATATGAATGTAACATTTATTTAGACTGTGCTATCCTTTGTGTTAGGCGAACTACTAAATTTTTTCGATTTCGAGTAATCTGCACCTAACCCTATTTTCTCCATAAGCCCTGTTATTTCTATTACGCGATTTTCTATAACACGATATTTTACAAGAACACAATTATCGCGTTATAGCAGAACTACCTGTATCTAGGGCAACTCTCACCCCTAGTCCTCCCCACATCTCTAGCTGTTGCTGATATGGCAGCAGGCATGCCAACTTATGATGATACATTGGGGATCATATCCAACCATTTTGTCTAGGGTTTCAAATTTTAGCGATGGAAAATCTAACGATGCTTTTTGGGGTAACCGTACATATATAAAAAACTGTATTGTACAGTACTTGTCTTGGTATTATTATCATTAACCTTATTTATTATGTTACTCAGTTTAATTTCAGTTACTCATATATTATACAATAGTTTATATGATGCCACCGTCGTAGTAAGGGCACAAGCGCCACCACGCCCAAAATCGAGTTGCCACCGCAGCAAGTTTGAACAAAGTTTCCTCTGGATGATCCAGCACCCGTGAGGAGAGCGAACCCGAGACTGGACCGTCACGGGGCAGTAAACGTCCGTGCAGGCCTCACACACGGAAGAGTAATGTTGCAAAACGGCCGAGTAATGAAGGCAAGGCATACACCAGTTGTATGACCAAAAAATTACTACCAGCAAGACAGGTAGACCCCCCATGTGCTGATGGGTGTTTCACAAAAGTCATCTTTTTCTCTATTTCTAAAATATGTCACTTGTGCCTTTACTACTGTGGTGGCCTCATATTTATCATACAGCATTTTATTTGGTGGTTAGTGAAATATTAGTTTTCTTTTTTTTTAAATAATGACTTTCAGTTATCTAAAAATATAACTTATCTGATATGGCTCTGGTCCCAAGTATTTTAGAGTTTTGAAGTGCAACCTGTTGTACCTTCAATTACAAACAAACCAATAGCAAATAATTCCCTACCTGGGGGAGGGGGTTAAGAAATAGACTAAAGAACACAAAGAAGCATCGACAAAGAGAGCAGTACAGTACAGTAGAGTAACATACCTCTGCCAGCTCTGAGCGGATGATCTCCCCGATGTACTCGATGATCATGGTGTTCTTCTCTATATCCCGCGCGGCGTACAGACCGAGACCCTGGATCTTGGACCTGTGATGTAGTGTTTAAAGGGGAGGGGAGGGGGGATGAATTAACACAGTACAATACAAAAACAATCACTAGGTACAAAACATTTCTCCTTCTTAGCCTGATACTGTATATGGTACCTAAACAGACATCTTGAGGTTATTATACTGTACATTATAGCAACAATAAGGCTTCTCTTATGAGAACTCCATCAGCATCATAAGTGACCGACATATTTATAAGTGACATAAGTCAGTGCCATAATTATAAGTGACATAAGTCAGTGCCATCAGTGAGTGTCATAATTATAAGTGACATAAGTCAGTGCCATCAGTGAGTGTCATAATTATAAGTGACATAAGTCAGTGCCATCAGTGAGTGTCATAATTATAAGTGACATAAGTCAGTGCCATCAGTGAGTGTCATAATTATAAGTGACATAAGTCAGTGCCATCAGTGAGTGTCATAATTATAAGTGACATAAGTCAGTGATATAAGTGAGTGACATAAGTGCCATCAGTGAGTGACATAAGCTAGTGTCATAAATGAGTGCCACAAGAGAGTAAGAAATAGTAATGTACTTAATTAGTGTGTGTGTGTGTGTGTGTGTGTGTGTGTGTGTGTGTGTGAGACATGTTGCTATAAAGTACTGTACTGTACTCCTTTGGTTAACCAACAGAGATCCCTATACAGAGTCAGTTCACACACACACTGGATGTTGTCATCACTGTTTCATGGCTAATTTCCACATTGATGGATGGTGTGGTGCCCTGGCTGCCCATCAGACAAATGTGAAGCAAGTTTTACAGCTGGATGCTCTTTCTATCACCAACCCAGTTTTTACAGAGTGGGAACTAGGCATTATCTGTAGGACGTGCAGTATGTTTATCATCAAAATGCACCGAGGAGTAACATTTATAAATGAAGCAAACTCACCTTGCTAAATACACAACACTTCTCCACTCATTCTTCATCTTCTTGTACTGGGATGATCTTGAATGGACATGTAATTTACTATATGGCACAAAGGGATCATAAGCCATGGTCAGGGTTGCTACACTGGCAGCATTTCTACAGTTGCTGCTGGTGCGCACTGAGCCAGCACTGGTACGCATCCCATGGTATCTCTTGAGGTGCAATTTGTTGAAAGGTTCTGCTCGAGCACATCCACTAGGGTTCACAGCCAGGGGAAGCTCAAACAAGGGATTACGGCCAAACTTGAAGTTGTAGTCGCCCAACGTGTCGATGCCCGGTAAAGATTCCAGGATACGAACAATTGCTGGCTCGGTGAGACCAAACAGATCCTCTCCACTGATGTACTGTGGAAACAGCCTCACAACATCTGCTTTCTGACGCATCTCTGCCAGAGGCTCAAGAACTTTGTTCCACACACCCTTAGGGGAGCAGCTGATAAAGGTGTGGTCATCGTGACCGTCCTCTTTCACCGTTATTCGAAATTCTGGCTGACCATCATTCTCGTGGATTGAACACTCATATGCACATCTCTTGTGAAGTCGACGCATGCTCCAATAGAACCGAATCTTGGGGGAAAAAACCAACAGGATTAAATAAATTATAACATTTGTTTAATAATATACTATAGTACCAATAAGCTGTATCACACCATCATAATGAATTGTGTAAAATTGTTGCAAACTTTTAAGAATATTGTACAGTATATTGTACAGTACTGTACTTACTGCAAAATTTAACATATCAAATATTAAATGTAAGACACATGACCTGTTACCACAGTACTTACCACTTGATAACCCACAGGATAGATGCAATAAGGAGTATGGAATGCCTGCAGCTGGTGTGGGAAAAGCTGTCCTATGGATAGAAGAATTAATGAGCCGATTCTAAGAATGTAGCTCATATCAGCGTGGTGCATCACCGAGGCCACCTGCCTGTTCTCGTCGCGGTCGATGAAGACTCGACGGAACACGGACAGGGTCGAGAGCTCGTTATCTTTCTCCCCTTTGTTAATATGCTCTTGACAATACACAGTTTTATTTTTGTAAAATGTACATCCCTCTTTCACTGCACAGTTGAGGTGGTAAACTTTGCTGCATCTCACTTTGAAGCACTTTACAGATGCTCCAGGCTGGTCACAATGCTCACATACAGATGCTGCTACTTTTTTCATTGCAGCTTCTACATTCATAAGAGCTCCATTCATTGTTTCATAAACATCTTCTGCCCAGAGAGCACAGTTCAGATGTACCCATTTATCTACATCAAAATTAAGCAGTCTTGAAGGCCCATCAGCAACGTAATCTCCATACAGATTACACAGAACGCACTGGCGGGTGTCGTCTCGTAATCGGTGTTTTCTGTAAGTAATACCCATACGAAACAGTAAGTCTGTCATTTCCTTTGGTGTTGGTTTTTCATAATTTTCGGGAAGAGTAAGAGCACTGGGTGTCCAGCACTTGTACTTGTGACCACGAAAACGTTTCCCATCGGGTTGTTTTGGGAACTGATCCTCATCGTCTTCTATCTTATGTTTGTTGGGTCGACTAAGCAGAGAATCTTCCAGCCGAGGCACCCGTAGAACTTCGTCCATATCTTCATCCTTTGTCCAGTCTGGGAGAGCATCGTCGGACATAATTGAAGGGTCTTTCATATCTCCCAGTGAATCTCTCTGCTTGGAGAATCTACTTGTTCCTTCGTGTTTTCCTCTTTCGTCAACAACCATGCGATGTGATAATGCAAACTGTACATAGCATTGCTGTGAACAAAAAGTGACTTCTTCAACACTTCCATACTCTTCTTTATTCAAGAAAGGAAGCTCCGACACTCTCTTGCATAAAATATCTTTTAATATAATGATATCACAATGTCGACAGAAGCGTGCCTGTCCATTTAGAATACTCTGAATGTCCACCACTTGTTCTTTACCATCTTTTGGATGCTTGTGACGGTAAAGCCTCGGTAACTTGGGGGCCTCGAATCGGTCGGCCATTTGGTACGACGACGGCGGAGGAATGTTCAAGAGGTTGGCCAAAGAACGTAAGACGCCAGACACGTCTTCCCCGGCCTGAGATGACAACGTGAGAGTGACAGTAACATTACCCATATCTTTTAAAGGCAATGCTGGCGATTGCCCTACACGACTCTTCATCGTAATGCTGGAAAGACGACCGATATTCTCCTTATCCAGTTCTGGAATATCCTTACTATCTTTGTCAAGAGAAGGAAGGAATGGTAACTGTCCAGGTCTAATTGGAGTGGGTATTAAGAGAGGAATAGCTGGAGAGAGAGAACGGTCACGCTGCTCCTCTTGAGGATCTTCATCCATATCAACCAGTCTCAGACCCTTGAATGGGAGAGGTGATTCAGGTAGGATGCATTCTGGTGAAGAGGAACTTAGAACAGTATCTGGAGAATCTGCATCTCTGGTTGGAGTTGGCGCTGGAGTTGGACGATTGGAGCCACTTACAGAGTCACCCTCTTGGTATTCATCTAATGGAAGTCCAATCTTTGGCGGCGTAAATTCGTGAATGTAAAAACCTCGCTGCGTGGGAGCAGTTTTAGCAGGAGTAACGAGAGGCAGCTTGTCACCAAAAGGTTGAGTATTGTAGTAATCGGTGACATTTTTAATGGTCGCATGACCTTCCGAGCCTTCTAAGACTCCTTGCCGATGGTTATAGTCTCGTCTGCCTAGTTTAGTTAAGTCACCACTGCCAAACATTGGACAAAGGTTAAAGTTTCTTGGTACTTCAGGTTCCATAATGGTGAGTGGTGGCATACTCCTCAGCTGTTGCATCACACTCTCTATGTAAGCATCATAATCCTCTTCTACTCGAGATCCCTGCCTGGCCCTCTTGGCTGGTTGTACCTTGGTGTCCTTACTCTGACTTTTCCTTCTAGCTTGTTGAGCTCGTTTCTTGGCTCTCTTAAGTTCTTCAGGGTCCATAGAGTCTGAGCCTTCATTTGGTGTAGTCATCTCTGGTGTGTGTTCTCCGGTGCTAGTACCTGTACCCATTACGGTCTCTGGGATCATTACTCTCATCTCTGTTTTAAGAGCGGGGTCGCTGTTTATTCTGTCTGCCATACTAGCTGGGGTTGGAGTGGCATTCATTACAGTGGCATTCAAAGCAGGATGTGAGCCTGATATAAGATGTGTACCTGGCGGATGAGCATTTGCTAAAGGGTGTTGACCTGGGTGTGAGGGTCGAAGCCCCGGGTGAACGACCATGTGGGGGCCCGAGGGAGCACCAGGGTGGCCCAATGGACGACTTGGGTGACTGACAGTTATTGTCTGGTGAGTTAGCTGACCTGGAACCACATGATGACCAGAAGAAGGAATCATGCCCGGATGACTTATGTGGTGAGTTGTGACCTGCCGTATACCTGCATGTTGACTAGATGGGTGAGGAGTGACTGGGTGCTGAACGGGATGACTCTGACCAGTATATGGCACTCCAAGACGGGCCACTGAGTGACTAAGGTTAACTTGAGTACCGGGCTGGGCTATTATTTGCTGCTGTTGACCCAAGACAACGGTGTGAGTACCACCAGTTGGCGGAGGACCGGACGACACTACCACAGAGCGCTGCATTATTTGTGGACTGGGCCCTAAGGTCTGCGGTTGGGTTCCAGGTGTAATTACCGTATGGTGTTGCTGCTGAATGTCTGTATTCTGAGACATGATGGATGCAGCACTTGTGGAGTGTAATACAGGCGCATGAGAGCTCTGTGCTGAAACAGGCACAACACTACGAGGTACTATTATGGGGGTTGGATTAGGCACCTGTGAAGCGACCTGGGATAAATGAGATGACTGCATCGGAATTGTTCCTTGAGTTGACCTAAATAACACCAGTTGACCTTGGGCAGGCTGCTGCATTGGACTAGCACATCCAGTATTCTCCAACAGTTGCTTCAGCAATGCATTTGAGGATTCCTTACTCATACCCTCACTCAGTCCTTCTGATTTTATTGGTCCAGTAAGTATTGAAGAACCTTGAGTTGTTAAGTGTGGGTGGTTTATGAGTGGTAACTGTGTAGTTGTTTGTGGCACTGTACCACTGACAGTCACATGCAAGGTGCCAGGAGGCTGAGGAATGCCAACACTTGAATGAGGGATGTTGGGAGTACCACAAGGTCCTGGGCGCTCTTCATCTGGTTCCCTTTTAATAATACTTGAAAGTGTAGGAAGAGAGCTGTGAGGACTGGGGGCAGGAGATCCCAATAGAGGAGACGGCCCCGTAATTTGAGGAGAGTGGGGAGAAGGATGATTAGACAGAGGAGATGGGGCTGGAGATACACGAGGTACAGGACTCGCAGAGTGCCCTGCCGGAGACTTGACGGCTGGCGGAGGCATCATGGTTGGCCGAATCACGGGAGGGGAAGGCGTACGGACCGGTTGTCCTCCGTGGATCATCATCATTCGCACTTGGCCGCTGGCACCTGGACGTACCATAACGCTGCCACTACGCACAATGGTTTGCTGAACCATCATTGGCTGTGTTACCATGCGTACGCCAACAGTCTGCGGTACACCACCTTGCATGACGACTCCACCCTGAGATAGGGTCCCACTTGAAGTCTGAATCCAAGTCTGCTGGCCCACTGATTGAGGAACACCACTAGATAATACCCCAACTGGTTGACCAATCGACTGATGCATTACATGTTGCTGAGTTACTACTTTTTGGCCTTCTGAATCGTGAATTCCAGTTTGTGAAACCGGTGCTCTCATTACCTGCGTTCTAAACTGCCGTGTCCCCTGTTGCAGCTGGCCTATGGACGGGAGGGTTCGAAGCTGCTGCGTCGCCACTGTCGGGGTTCCAGACGTGTTTAATAAAGGTCTCGACTGTAAACCAATCTGTTGCAGAGGAACGCTCACTAATGGGCGACCGAGAGAAGATGTGGTGTGAGTCATTGCTGACATTGAACTTGTAGGTAAACCTATATTGTTTGCATAGTTTGTTAACCCACTTGAAATCCCACTTACTTGGTCATTGATGCTAACCATTGTACTATGGGTGGATACTTCATCCAGAGGTCGACTTATACAGGTAGGTACAGTGTTTGAGTTGTAGAGACCAGTTGTGGCTGGAGTACTTGAGGTAACAGACATTATGGGTGGTGGCACCAGAGAACCACTAATGCCACCATTACCCGAGGTGCCAACTGTTACGCCCAACACACCAGTGCTGGGAGTAGCTATACATCCCGTGGCAGTATTCGATGGGTAATTTCCAGAAGCATTAACACTTGGTAACCTAATTCCCGGAGCCACGGCTACAGTGTGACTGGGGTACATACTGTTTTGTGAAAAGATGGCACCTCCGCCAGGAATACCAATTACTGCTTGATGTCGACTTGATGGAGGAATTTCAGACTTTAGGGGCTCTGGAACCACTACTTTATTTGCACAAGATGACATCTGAGTTATCATTGAGGTGGTTAATCCTGCAGGAGAATATGTAGACTGGACAGAGCGTGTCCCCCCACCACCTATCATCCTCACAACCGGTCCTTTAACACTTTCACTTAACACATGGGCTAAACCTTCCTGGCCTTCATGAGTCTCTACTTCATTCTTTATTGATGGTGCCATGAGATTTGTTAATCTTAAAATGGGAGACGAAGACGTGCTGATACTGGCCGTGGTGTTGGTGGGTGGCATCGTTACTAGTGCGTTGCTGGACGTGGTCTGTACTGCATTATTTTCCACTTCCCCGAGGGGTGCTCCACCCTTCAAGCCAAACTTGAAGTGTCCCCAGCGACTTCTAAGGAGAGTACCTCCTCTAAGTCCCGGCTTGAAATATCCAAATCTTCTTATATAAGGAGGAAGAGGTGCTGGATTATTGGGGTTATTAGCATTGCCTCCTCCTCCTCCTCCTGATCTTGGTGCAATTGTTCCTCCTCCTACAGAAGAAGGTGTGGATGAGGAGGCGGGCGAGGGCACTGCATCACTAGTAGGTGTAGGCACAGAGGGATGAGGACTATTAACTTGACTACTGTTACTACTAGCACCCCCTATATCACTATGGGGAGTGTGAGGTGCTCCACCAATTTCCCCCGTACCAACACTGCGAGGAGTTAAAGGAGTACTTGGGTTTTCTACACTGTGAGGACGCATCTGGGGACTGGCAAGGGGTACAGGACTCCTTAAACCACTATGTACTGGACTGGGTTTCATAGACATATTCCCTGATATGGGACTTGGGACTGGGCCACATGAACTGGGACTAGCCAGAGGGACAGGGCTCTTTAAACCACTATGAACTGGACTTGGTTTCATAGCCATTCCACCACCTAATGGACTTGGAACAGGTCCACTTGGACTTGGGATGGGGCCAACTGAACCTGGGCTTGGAACAGGTCCTGATCCTGAAGGTCTTCTGAGAGGCATCACTCCCTGAGGGTACTGATGTCTCATCATCATTGATGGTCCTTGCCCCTGAGGCATCATCACTCCAGCCTGTGGGTATGTCGATCTTACCCCCATCATGTGCGGAGACATTTGACCCGGCTGTACCGTCTGAGTGCCAGGACTGTGAACAGGCATTCTAACTCTCATCTGAGGCACCATCATGTGATGTGTCATACCCTGGGGTGTGCCTGGGTAAGTAGGACGTGGACCTTGGTCGGGATACCCTCCTCCCGGGGATGGCATGCGCGTCTGAGGGCTAAAAGGTGATTCTCCCGGGGAAGGATGTGGACCCGGGACTACCATAGCATGAGGGGAGTGCTGAGGAACTATTGTAGGGTTAGGGGATGCAACTGGAGTGTGTGGTGAAGGAACCATAGGGCTCAAACCCATCCCTGGTTGTGATGATGGGGAGGGAGACATGAGAGGGCTTTGTGGTGTAGAGTGCATGGGTGATGAACCTGTAGGACCTATGGGAGAAGCCCCAGTCATCATGGTTCCTGGAGATGCACTCATTACCCCACCTTGAGTGTTCAGTACATTTATATGAGTTTGCCTATTTCTCTTTTTATTGTTGTATTCCTGCATGATCATGGCGTGTTGTCGGGCAGACTTGCGACACTGTTCTAGGTGCCGCTGTATGGCAGACGCTTCTCTCTGAACACGGGCGAGCTCTGCTGCATCGTGTTCATTTAATTCCTGACCATTTTTTTTCAACGTTCTCTGACGACTGTTCAAACTTTTCCGCTGCTTTCGAAGTTTTATGATTTCTGTTTCGTAATACCTCTGCTGATTACCAATTAGGTTATGTTGTTGTGCAAGCCACTGTTCATACTGAAGCTGTTGTTGTCTTTCTGCATCAGTTTGAGGATTATCAGGTGGGTGTGGAGGTGGAGGAAGTGTCTTAATGTTGACAGTGCCTGGTGTTGAAGGCACAGTTCCACGTGAACCAACCGCTTGTAGGAGAGCTGAAATAAAAACCGAACTAAGATTAGACATAGAGAGATCACTGTCGTATCACAGCAACAGAAAACTTTACAACAGTATTGCCAGGCATCATAATCCCTTTACAATCATTATTTTCTTCCAAAAGGAATTATATTACTATCTTTTCCAAAATGTGTTTAAAAATGCATTGAATCCATTTATATATTTTAAGATTAAGCCATTAAATCATGGCCTGGTGGTATACCAGTACAGTCACATAGGAGGCATTTAGAACCAGAAAGGTGAATGTGCGAAATTTAAATTTTGAGAAAATGCGCTTGAAAGATTGTACAGTACAAACATAAATCCCCATACTGTAGCACCACACTAAGTGCACATATGTACAGTCAACAACAAAGTTTTCTGCACCTATATGGTGTTATACAATATGACACACCGGACCAAGAATTTTGAACAACACTCATTTACGTGGGTTATTCCTGTTAATTTCTCTGTACGGTGGTCCCTCGGTTAACGAACGGTTCGATTAACAAAATTTCGGTTAACGAATTACCTCCCATAAGAATCTTCAATTCGGTTAACGAAATCCTTACGAAAAACATATTTTGTTGTGAGCATCAGCTGATGGGCTAGTCTGCCAATTCAGTAATCTGTTCTATGTTTACATTCGTTTCCAGAGGAGTAAATATAAAAAAATTTTGCTCTTTAATATTTTTTATATTTTTATATTACAATTATTCGTCATTTTAAAATTTAGTTAACATATTGATAATATACAGCGCAGTGCAGTGTTTATTCAAATAAAATAATCTTGAATTACACCAAGTGAACTTAAAATTTTATTGGTGAAATTACTGCATCAAGCATGGGTCCCCTGAAAGGTGATTTCTCCTCCACCCCCACTTCCTTCTCTTCTCCCTTCTCCTCCACCCCCACTTCTAATTCCCATCATCATCATCATCAACCAGGAACCTTCTATATACACACCTCAAAGTAAGTGTACTTTACTGCATTTTTTTTTTACTTTGTATGTACTTTTCTGTGAGCTGGAACCAATTACCCAATATCCCATTGAAACAATGGATTCGGTTAACGAACGACTCTGTGGAACGAATTGTGTTCGTTAACCGAGGGACCACTGTATTAACTACAGCTAGACCCCGACTTACGACTGCTTCGACTTACGACCGTCGGGACTTGCGACCGCTGCAGTTGTGACCATTTTTTTTTTCTTTTTTTTTTCTCCAAATGACACACGCATTTTCTATACCAAAACATTTCCAGTTAACGTAGTCTCCATGTATAATTAGAAAATTATGGGGGCCCCATATGCATTCAGCTGACTACATTAAAGGTAAGTGCTCAGTCACACTGTATCCATTCCTCATTATTTATTACTTTTACTGTACTGTATTTCATTGTAGATTTTTTATTAATTTTTTTTTTTATCTACGTCGGACTTACGACCATTCGGACTTACGACCTGGATTTGGGTCCCTAACCCCGTCGTAAGTCGGGGGTCTAGCTGTGTATGTGATATAAAAAATACACCATACTGGCTATACAATGCATCACACAACCAGAAATACCAACCTTACCAAATTAAGATGGCCTCAGTCAGTGATCGTTGAAGAGGCCATCAGACCTAGGGGTGCAGAACGTTTTTTTGCTGACTGTACTAAGTGATAATTAAGTTATGGACAAGATATTACTTCCTAGGCAATCTCCGATCATCAATCTTAAATAACTAGCCATTCAATTCATATCTGTCAACTCATTCCCCACACAGTGTTACCAGATCACCTGCCTCATGTCGCAGGTTGGCTCGGGATGAACCTCTGCTGTTGACTTGTACTGTGCATGTTTTGGGGATTATTTTGAAGGCAAACATTTGTAGATTATTATTATAATAAAAAAGTTTTAAATGAGACATACATCCTGAACAGTGATAGAGAATGAGAACACTGCAACATGATGGTAAATCCAGTAGTACAAATATTACCTAATAGTAATACTGTATACTTTTAAACACTTAATAGCAGCATTATTATGTTCTTCATGGTCCATTTTACAGTTATTTTCCTGGATTTCAAGCAACATAAATAAGGCAGAAACACAGAGAAGCTCCTTTACTGTTTACCAAACATGCAAGACTGCCTTGGTAGGGATGCAATGTGACCTCCCATTGGCTGCGTCATGCTCGGTAACAGTAGCTGATTGGCAACTGGCTCTCATGTGGTTATGTTTGCTCGCCCCTCTGGCAAGAACACTTGGACCCCCGGTGTGATGAAAGTACTTTACCAACACATCCAATAGGAGGAATGCTCAACTTTTACCTTTGGCCAACTCTTAAGACAGTCGCTTGCACTTATACCTGGTACAGTGGCTGGTACGTCTTGTATGATGTGGCAACTTTGTGTTTGTTTACATCATATTAAAACTCCCAGAATGACCCTAAGGAGCCTCATCATAGTAGCCAGACTAAGGATGCTAGATAGGCATTCCACAAGGTTGCCACATCTCACAAAATGCAGCAGCAGCAACATCTTCACAACAGCCAGCAGCCGAGGAGGAGCAAACAACAATGGAGGAGGAGCAAACATTAACAGAGGAGGAGCAAGCAGCGGCAGAGGAACCCCAGTCAGCGCAGGAGGAGGAGGAGGAGGAGGCAGCTGCAGAGTCTCAGTGACTCACCACCCACCTCCCCTGCCACCCTCCTCCTCCTCAGCTCCCGCCACCCGCCGTCCTCCGCTCCTGCCATCCGGCTCCTCCGCTTCACTACCCACCAGACACCTCCACCCATCGGTCAGTACCCATACAAACTTAGTACAGTACTTGTAGTTGTATATGCATGCACTATTTTCTGTATATGTAATGTATTTCATGGGTCAAAGGGAGGCTCAGGAACGTAACTCCCGTATTTTATCTATTTCTTATGGGGAAAATTGATTCGCTTAACGTTGTTTCGTATAGCGTTGCATTTTAGGAACGTAACCCCGACGTTAAGCGAGGACTTACTGTATCGCAGCGATCACAAGGTTATGCATTATTTAATGACAATAATGTTTGTTACATGTGTGAGCAGAGAGGGAATCACGTTGAAACAAAGCACGGGATTGTAGTTCACACGGTGGCCGTGAGGCGGTGTATGGGTCGATGAACTGCACGGAAGATGGAAAAGCAGTTTCTGCACATATTGGCCATCTTGGATTTCACAAGTCAAAGGAACGATGCACTTCCCCAGTGTTTACATTCCACATCAGCAAGTTTAGTCAAATAATAACCATCATGTACTATATGGACTTTGCCTAACGTACATCACTTGAGGGCGTTAAAACCTAATTATCGTTAATGCAGATTATCTTAAAATGGAAGATCGTAAATAAGGGAATACTCGGCACTCCCAACATTGTCTGCAACGCTCAATGCTATGATAAATCATTGAATCATTTACTAGTATTATTTTCACAGAAACTATTATTCTTATGTTTGAAAAAAAGAAAGATTTGTATTGATATGGTAGAGCTAGAAAGGTAAGTGTATAAACCTCTACACAGTACATGACAAACTTCTACATTATTGAGAAGTAATGAGTTGTCGTCATCAGTCCATTAATATCCTAATATTATGTAACTGGAACATGGAGGTATAAGGATGGCTTGTTAACATACAATAGCCTCTGGTTATTTCACAAAACACAGACTGAGAATGTTCCCCAAATAAAAAATTGGGATAGAAAAAAGTTCAATATAAAATAAGGGATTAAGCACCAGAGGCCATGAAACAATGCTTTAAAAGGTTCATTTACTCACTAAACAGAAGCAACAAACGCACAGCCTTCTAGTAAGCCACAGTAAAGTGAAGAAAACCACAAAAATGTAGGAAGTAGAACAATACTGTAACTGTAAGGTCCGAAAATGGTCTGGTAACGTTGAAACTGTGCATCCAGACGCATGATGAGACTCAGCCCCCCCCCCACCTGTTATCTCTAACTATTTTCTGTTTCCCCTTCTTTATTCTTCTATTTACTCATCTTCCTTCCTTTACTAATCCAAACAACATTACAAAAAAAGTAGGCTAAGAAAAAAAGTGGGGGGAGGAGGACGGAGCCGTACGATAACTGCAATCGAGGGCTGACAGTGTACAGCGAATGAGGGTGTGCCAAGTCCGTAGACTTGCATCGTTTTACAGCGTAAATAAAATGGTTAATTAATGGCTTCCTAAAGAAACCATCGACATGGGATGAGGTTTGTTCCACTCTACGATTTTTTTTTTTGCGATTTTTCCACCAAGTTTGATGAAAATCGATTGTGCCGTTTTGGCTGCACAGACAGACAGACAGACACACGGCTAGTCCTATAGTATATTAGATACTGAAGAACAACTACACACGTTAACCACCAACTTGTGGACATTTTCTCATATGATTAATGTCTTTTACCTCATGAAAACACACAAAAAAAAGGGAAGGAAGGAGTAAGTTTTTTAAGACTATATGATTCTTACAGGAGTGAAATTTAATGCCTCCTGGATGTGAACTATTGTCTTGTATCCACCACATGACACAATGCAAATAATAAGCAAATATCTAAATTATTAAGAAACGACATCTTAATCACGCTTTGTTTATCGACCCATTCTTTTATTACTTATGCTACGTGTCACGTCAGCGATGCCGTCAGCTTCTCACTATTTACTCCATGGCGTGTTAACCTACCTCTAATGTTTCCTGTTTCTACACTATCTAAAAAAAAATTTATTGTCTTTGTAAAATGCAAGGTTATATTACAATGGATAAAGCCCCTGAAACAGAACAATATATACCGGTACGATCACTAGCCCGTCTCCAGGTGACCCAGAACCCCCAAAACCTTTAAAGCCATTATGATATAAAGATTTGCAGGCAGAAAAATTAATTGATAAAAAGAATTATTTAGTTCCCTTTGTTTAGCTGCGGTCGAGTGTTGAAGCGAGTGTGTGGATGGCCTAGCCGAGGGCCAAGGAAGGGCTGTAGGTGAGAGCACTGACAGTATATTCAGAGTCCATATCTTTAATTTATAAGAATATAACTTGTCTTAATTATATTTGTTCTTTTTGTGCATCCAGTGGTAGAATAATTTTCCATCAGTTTCGGCCAAGAGAAATTACTATGGTTCAACTTCAGAGTACTGTACATCTTAGAATTGAGGTCAAACCTTTTGGCATGAAAATTGTCCAAAACTCACCCTGCGGCTTACAATTTGTAGCAGCTCATGATCATGCCAATACGGTATAGGTATTATTTAGAAGTTGAGAAGTAATCAATCACCTCCTCTTAGAAATCAAAGTTTTGACAAAATCAGTAAATTATTTGAAGTAATAATTATATGTGCATGTGAGAAAGTTAAGCCAAACTGGTCAACAAGATCACATTACTGAAAGCAGAGTGATGTGTATTATCTCCCAAGTGTGTTTCACCTGGTAACCATCTCCATACTTTTAAATGGCCATGTTTAGCAGAACAACTTGAATCCTTGGGAAGAGAATCATTCACCATCAGCTGGTTATAATTATAATGAATAAAAAGGTAAATTTTTATCTTGTGCACGGCGGTCATCATCAGCGGGTGTTAGCTGGAGGGTCGGCAGCCAACACCAGATGTTTGGTGAGCCACTAGTTAAGGGTTAATGCAACAATGATTCTGGAGAGTGTTTCATCCTGTCATCCATCCCACCAGTCATCACATAACCCATCATCCATCCCACCAGTCATCCCATAACCTGTCATCCATCCCACCAGTCATCCCATAACCTGTCATCCATCCCATAACCTGTCATCCATCCCACCAGTCATCACATAACCTGTCATCCATCCCACCAGTCATCACATAAACCACTAATTTCTATCAAGTTCAGCTAGGGAGAAAGTAAAAAAGAACGCAGCATTGTTCTCCCACGATGAACGATACAACTAAGTGACACAAACAATGGTTATAGAGCCAACCAGTTATACATACACTTACCGGGATGCATACCAGGGTCAGCCTGAGGTCGTACCGGGCGGGTCATGGGTTGGACAGGACCTGGTACCTGATGTGTCTGCTGGGTGGTGGAGGGTGGCTGAACAGGACCCACTATGCGTTGGTACGGTTGTCTCACTCCCCCGTTGTTACTAACTATTTGTCCACCTAATGTACACAAATAATATTATTAATCATAATTAATTGTAATATCTAGATTTTTGTGTATCTAATTAATTATCTTTACTCCTAAAACCAACCAATTACAATTAGTGTCCTCTTTAATTATTCCTCCTTCTTAGGATATCAGTCAATAAACTTCACTCCTCTTACTCCACACTTACTTCTCTCCTCTCACTCCACACCTCTCACTCCACACCTCTCACTTCACACCTCTCACTCCACACTTCCTCTGCCCACAATTTTTCAAGTCTCAAAAAACAGGAACAACTTACAGTATTTAAAACAAAAATGGAACACTGAAAAATTTATCAGATAGTGTGTGTGTGTGTCCGTGTGTGTGTGTGTGTGTGTGTCTGTGTGTTTTGGGCATGAACATGGTGCTTATGGAAAATGTTACATTGTGGGAAAAAAATAAAACCCACTTGGGACCTTGTTGTAGAAGGGGAGCACCATGGCGGTAAGAATGTAATGGATGACAAGGAAAAAAGAAAACCTTCTGTGTATTTGTTCTTCAGTCCAACCACTCTGCATGGAATAGGAAAAGGCTTAAAAAAGAAACAAAATCAACACTAATTTCATGTTCTTAGTAATTCATATGTCTTATTTTCCAAACATCAACAAATTTCTCCGACTCTTACCTGATATTGGTGGTATGCCGACGGATTGGTTCCCCACTGAGAGCACGTCGGCCTTGAGCTTCTCGTAATCCATGTCGCTGAGGTTGAGTTCCACAGGTCCTAAGGTTTCTTGTTGCTGGTGATGGTTGGCTTTCTGCTGCTTCATCTGCTCTTGTTTCTCTTGTTCCAATAAATCTTCTATTAACAAGGGCTGTTCCTGTCACAAGCGTACAGAGGTAAGGAGCTTGGCTGGAGGCTACGGGGCACCCAAATATATAGATATCTTACTTTTTACGTATCTTAGTCAAAAGTGACTTAAGCAAGTAAGTAATTTATTAGATAGCATTTTTAATTGCAAGAACTATTTCATTAATTTAACATAACATTTAAGTATTATCTACCTGGCTGAGAGAGACTACTAATGCACAAAGAGCAAAAATAGTTTAACTTAAAAGAAATATATTGACCCCTTCCATGAGTAGATCATTTATACACAGATTAATAAGTATTTTCTAGACAAGTTCCCGGTGGATGTATTTTTCATCTGGGTTCTATCTGGCCCGTGTGGCATAGGGCCCATGTGACATATGGCCCGTGTGACGTATGGCCCGTGTGACGTATGGCCAGTGTGACATATGGCCCGTGTGACGTATGGCCAGTGTGACGTATGGCCAGTGTGACATATGGCCCGTGTGACGTATGGCCCGTGTGACGTATGGCCAGTGTGACATATGGTCCGTGTGATGCTAAAGAGAAACACCCAAGAGCAGACACACACTAACAGCCCGGGTAAATGTAAATATCAAAGTCTCATGAGATTAACGCACACCAAAAGTCAACAGCAACTACTCAACAGTATCAGAAGAAGGCTGAATACCACCATTTATATCTTTTCCCCCAAAAGTATATTGAACCGTTACTATGAACATTTAACGCTTCACACAACTCAATGTTTATGCTTCAGGATAATAAGTGATGCAGCCCTTTACAGTTACCTTGAGGTACTGTACGTATAATGACCGCGATGAACCTCTCCACTTTATACCCAGATACTGACTCTGTGTCTTGACATTTCTAGTGATACTTCCCTTACACCAACCTAACCTAAACTAAACTAACATAACCTAACCTAATCTAACTTCACCTAATCTAATCTAACCTAACCTAACATAACCTGTCTTATATCAAGAGAATTTATCAGATAAAGGGGCTTAGATCCTCAGTTCCAATTTTGTAGTCAATTACTCACCATAAATGCTACACTACATACTCTAACGTACTGGTATTTTGATATAAAATTTAAACCACCGATAACAGTATGCTAATTTTTCCCAGTAGTTCAGTACAAGAGAGACAGGAAAATCAGTCGCCAACATATCTTCAGTCAGTCTTATTATCACAGCTACCAACTGTGAGACACCTCCATAGTCTATCAGTAGTGCCATCAATCATTTCTCCTCCCTCTATCCACTACATATTCCAATACCCAAATAAAACATGTCCCTCAATTTTCTCTATTCTTCACATTTCACATCCAACTCTACAGAACATCCAGCACTAGGTAACTCAACACCAAGATCTGTGTGATGCAGTCGTTAATAAACCAACACATCTTCTGGCAAAAATTTTTGACAATGTGCTGGCAATTTTTTTTTCTTTCCATTTCTTTAATTATTCAAAAAAAATTCTTTATATACTAACACTTTCAGATTATTTCACCCTTTCCTCACAATTCTTTATGTTTTATTTTTTACTAACAAAAAGGTTATCTATCATATTGCTCCATCTTTGAAGGCATTATTAAACAAAGTGACATAATACACCACCACCAGTAATTAAACACAAATTTATTCTATTATCAAAACATACGACAGTCTTCATGATACCTCCATTGACTCCTATACAAGGTCAGGAATTACAACAAGCCCTTCCGATTTTTTTTTTTTACAGGGATTAGCCCACCCGGGCACAAGTCACTGGCCCACATCGGGGCCTGGGGAGCAAAAATGAAATAATAATAATAAAAATACTAATACTAATAATAATAATAATAATATTAATAATAATAATAATAATGATAATAATAATAATAATAATAATAATAATAATAATAATAATAATAATAATAATATTATTATTATTATTATTAATATTAATAATAATGATAATAATAATAATAATAGTAATGAAGAATTACAAAAATGAAAAAAAGATCAAGAGTGAGAAACAATATATGTATGTTGTGTTGTCAATAGTAAGAGAAACAATTGAGACCCTGCAATTGTGTGTAAATGAGGCAGAAAGTCAGATCATCAACCTGGGACTTGGTCACATATGGCAGCAGGGTCTACCATTAGACAACACATTATGCTTCCAATATCTTCCCAGTACCTCCCTGTTTGGTAGCTGCCAACTACCTACGATAAAATGAGTTGCTCTTAACCTATGAATAAAGCCTCCACTTTCTTACTTTTTCTAAGTCTTGCTCTACCAACCCAACCAGACTTTCAGTAATATATGAACAACACACACTCCTCCTGCCCTTAAGCTACCCCCTCTCTCACCTGTAAACAGTTCTGCTAATTCTTACTCGCTCAATCAACATCCCACCATACTTATGACTTTCTTTTTCGTCTAGTTCTTAAATTTTTGTTTTTGCCACCCTTCAGTTTATGCCAGCAGACAATAATGTCCCAGTCTTCCTCCAAACCCCTGCTACAAACCACAACTTCTTTGCAATCATTAGACAAACTGATATCCATTCCATCTTCCTTTCTTCCCAAAATTTAATCGGTGTCTCTTATCGCACCAATCATTACGCCTCTTTTACCGTTTCTCATAAGCTTTATCACCCCTTGCACCCCGCTGCTGTTAACTCACGTCATGGTAGAGTACCGTGTCCGTCCACTCGGGGAAGCTAACAAACTCACGAAAGACTCGTACCAACATGTGACTCGTGGCCTCAATAATTAACCTCACAGAAAAAATTGTGTATGTAGAATGAGACTCACTGTATAGTCCACCTCACCCAAGGCACATCACCTGGATACAGCCTCTCATCTCCACACAATGGCATCAATTCTGTGTTGCTAACTACTCATGGAAGAGGTTTGTTCAAAGTTTCAATAAGCAAAAAGGTCACTGCATGTAGCTGATCCCTGAGACAGCATAAAGAAAAAGAAGAAGAAAAAATAATTATGCTGCCCCCAATTGGGTTTATTATTAACCATGATGAAGCTTGGCAGTTAGTTTGGCAATCTGAGTCTAAATGGTAAGAAAGCAGGAAGAGCTCTGCTGAGGTATGAAAAAATAATAAAGCTTACATTGTGGCCACATCCATGACTCTCCACCAAACCAGAGAGTAAAAATTAGTCAAGATACAACAGGAATCTCCTGCTGTCACATTAATTACTAGGAACATTTACATGATTTAATGAGAAAGATTAATTAGGTACATATTCTAAGTTACTATATTCTTATTTATTACTCCATTAAATATGACAAATTAATTTTGTAAGTACTGCTTATTTCAATACAAATACTGTACATGCCTGATAATATACAGATTAGTGATCAAAGCACCTGGAAACAGCACTCACCTTACATGAACACTATCAAGTGAAATTCACCACCATTAATTTTCTCTTTGGATATCAGTGATGAATTGTGGTTCACATTAAAATATTCTTAAAGTTTTAAATTCCATAATATAATAGTGAGGCCTTCACAAATATAAATCCTACTGCAACATACAGTATACTCTACATCAAACTGTTGACCTTAAGTGTTTGAAAGTGTGAGATTTGACAGTACTGTACTGTACTGTACTGTACTGTACTGTACTGTACTGTACTGTATACAATTGAGAATGAGAAAATATCAAGCACAGGACAATGGGCTCTAAGCAAAAAACATAAAACATTTTTGTCTTTACATTATAAGCTGTAAAGTTAAAATGGTCCTTGTAAGTACACACTATAAATGTCAAGGGTTGATATAATCATGCACAAGGCACAAGATAAAAATATCCAACTACAGTACACAGACACAAAAGCAACAAGCAAGACACTAACAACTGAGGGAATGTCCTACATCCTATTCAAAGTTAAAAGAAGAAAAACACCTACCAAGGTATTCACTTTCATATTGACAGGTTAAATTCCAGTTAATATTCTATTAACTGTTTCATGATAAAATTCTTCAGGGCTTTAAATGGGGAACAACATTCCCTCACAGTATACGGAAAAGCGTAACAGGTGGACAAACTTTCAAAAGAGGACAGGGAATATGTAAATGTATGTGGAGACTATAAGACTTTCAGGGATTAAATATATATACTGTATATACAACATGACACAAGAGCTGGTACATTGTATAGCACAAGATGTAGACAAAGCATAAAAATGAGGAGGATCTCTAGCCATAAACCACTGTCTTTACTGTGTGGGTTAAAGCACCTTCATGACCATCTGAAAACTTTCCCTCTATATCAAACAACAAATGAGCACGACGACTGAAGCCGGTGAACATAATGCCGTATAACCATAAGATGCGCGAGAATACGTATCCTCCAGGAGATGTTAAAGTAGTTAGCAAGCCATCAGATCGTTGGGTAATAAGCTCGTCCAACTCCCGAGTAAATTTTAAGTTAATAAAATGTCTATCATGCTTAAAGTAATTTCTTTAGGTAAGAAATTAAGTGAATTGAGCACCGTACTCAAAGTTTCAAGTACAAAGTGTGACCACATGATGTAAGACATTTCTTTCCTCAATCCTCTACTTTATATTTAACAGAGACAAAAATTCCTGAGCCTGTGAGATACGGTAAGTTGCTGGTGATAAACAGTCTGCCGGGAAAGCTTTACTAAATAGTAGTACGTCAATCTGCCCCGTCCAGCTAGCTAATTCCTTCAATTCTCCAAAATAACTAAACTTTCCAGCATTACTTCACATAGTTGGCCTGCCTTTGGTCGACACAGCTTATTGATAGCGGTTGTTTGTCCTTCTTCAATATGTGTGTGTAATGCTCAACAAGGTCAACTTTTATGACACTTTTGACTAAATAAACACCATTGTTCATGGGTCAAACTTGGGGCAAATGCTTGTTCAAGAATCTACAACATGAAAAGTTTGTATTGGTGAGGATTTTATACTTTTCATTAAGGTAGTACAGTATTGGTCCCCAGGGAGGCAGCCACTGTCTTCACTGCTACTAAC